AGATGAACACAAGTGAGTACATAACTCAATAGCCCCAAAAAGTTATCTGCAGCTCTACTGTACATCAGTCCCGATTACCGTCAGACTATGGCCTGTTACTTACCAGCTGTAATCAGTGTGGTATGGCGAACCAGATCGTCTTGTCTCGTCGCAAGCTATCACTTCAAGTGTCAACTCGGAGGAGATAATGTTAAGTGTTGGGCAATAAGCCAAGGTAGCTTTGTTCCTCCAATGGAGATCCTGGGTTATCATTATAATCCTAGCTTGTTGTAACAGCTGACTTAGTGGGAATTGGGTGGCCAAGGTGATGGAGTGTCATTCTACACAGATGATTGTGTCGATTGGTTCTTACAATCTGTCCCAAACTCTTTAGATGCTACAAGCTCAAAGTTGTCTTTTAGTATTTCTTACAATGGTGTAGTGTAATTATGTAGACTGGTCAGAATCTTCATCAGTGGCCAAAGCCAACAGATTGGTGCTTATGCTTTCAGTAATTCAAGGATTGCCTTGATGCAGAATTCTTGCATATTGGACGTAGTCTGTGATTTGATGCAGTAACAAGTGAACTGATTGTGATGATCAGGACCAGAGACAGGAAAGTTCTGTGACTTGGCCCCCATATTATATTCATACGAATACCTTGAGGACAGAGAGATGACTCCCATATTCAGGATCCTATGGCAATCCCTAGTTTGTTTGCCAGATCTGTTCTACAAAGAAACCATAGGGCTATTACTGTCTGGTCATTACAATTGTTTTATTGAGTTTCAGTCAAGTTCTGTGTTCTCGTCTACATCTGTAACATGGAATACTGTCGTGCTTGCATGCAAATTGTTATTTAGAACAGTGACATGATGAAACGCTTAATCCATTCTCTGAGATCACGTGACTGACCCATGGAAACACCGCAAGGTGAGGGATCATGGGTAATCTCTGGCTCCCAGGGTTCTCCTGTGTGTTGGGGTGACCCCATGTGACCTGTCCGTGGTGACGTCATGGTGGGATGCTTGTGTCCCTCAAGATGTAATTAAGGCTCTGATCACTGCTCACAGTTAACTCAATTAGAAATGAAATTTAATATGTAAAAACCCAGTCATAGTATTAACTCAGGGATAAATCTACCCCCGCGTCCCGCGTCCCGCGTCTCTGACGCAATAAATTCTGACCGGACTCATATTTTTTTTACATGTTTTTTACAAGCTTTTGATTAAACACTAATGTTTATTTTTGTGGAGAGGCAATATCAAAGTATACATGGCTAAATCTTCATAGATTAACTTCCATTCTCAAATAATTGACGTGAGCTAATAAGTACACATTATTTTTAAAACGATCGCAGCTTTCATTCGTCATGATATTAAGTTCATTTCCGCGTTTCAAAAAATAGACATCTAGGTCACACCAAGGGAGGTAAGCGGTATGCAAATGAGATCCCAAGATTCATTGCTCAAGCATGTGCAAAACTACTAACTTAGTTTTTACACTCTATAAATAGACACAAACACGCTAAGGGAGGTAAGCGATATGCAAATGAGGTTTTTCAAGACAAACTGATTGGTCAATGAACATTGTGACTCTGAATCCACAGTGTGAAGACAAAATCTGAGCTCTCAGTACCAGTTAGAGAAAAGCAGGAAGCTTTAGTCAGTAGCTGAACAACTGTTAAATCTATCTGCATGTAATTTGAAAGTGAAAGTGACATTTGACAGGGTTAAAGTTCTACTGAAATAGAAATTCTATTAGAATGTCATTCTGCTGTTTAAGTTTCTGAATCTCTAGTCCTGGAAAAGTAATCCTATAAATGAATCATTTCATTTATAATTATGATAACGTTTATGATATAATTCGTTCAATGTTAATAGTTAAAGTAAGACAGTTACTATTTGTGTTCATACTTGTTAAAGTGGCCTCCAGTTGGCATATTTCTTTTGATGTAATTTGTTTTTGAATCACTGAACAGAGTGAAGAAATAAAACAAAACTTTGGTTGGAATTGTAGAACTTTATTCACAAAATATTACACTGAAATTACATGGGTCTGGCTAGTAACTTTTTTTATTTTTCTAGTAAAAGAAAACATTTGCTTGTCAAAGGTCATGTAGAGCCCTGTTGTTATTTTTATAATATAGCAGTCGACATGCCGCCCGGATAGATACTGTCAGAAAACACAAAGTTAGGACATTTCAGTCAGGTTAGCTGAATACTCATTGGTTATGGCTGACTTATGACAGGGAAGGTGATTTAATATTTTGTAAACTATGTACTGAAAATGGTATGACACAAGATGCTAAATGCAGAAATTTTTAAAATACAACTTTGACCAGACATCTCATCATAAGGATAATAAACTGTCCGTTCAGGCTCCAAAACTTTGTGATTTCCAGGTTGCAACTGCATGTATGTATGAAAAATAAGACAAAGCAGCTGTCGCCTTGATGAAATCTGTTCATTGGTTAGCTTGTGAAAACATCCCACTGACAAAGTTTAAACGTTTTGTTGACTTTTTATATGAATTTGAAAACGAAGACATTGAAATTCTCAAGGAAGGTAAAATCAACTTTGATTCTCCAACCACTGCCAGTGATCTGTTAACATCTGTGTCTGATGTGATAGGGTATGAACTACAAGTTAAAATGGAAGAGTCTCCATTTGTTACAATTTAGGTACTACCAGCTCTGTTCTGTGAAATATCCCAGACCAGTCAGACTCACCTGTGCAAACTATAGTAACAATAAACCAGTTTGAATAATATTTGTGGCATTAATTTTTGTTAGGGTCTCATAAAAGTTCTGAGGGACTCATAGTTATTCAGCTCAGTGAGTCCCGGGACTCAGGCAGTTGAATTTGTAGATTTATCACTGTTAACTACAGGTTTGTCTGGCTGAAATATTATAGCAGTAGTTGTAAGTGCAGCATAAAATACTCTCAAAACAGAAGCTTAGAGTAGAACTAGAATGAATAGGGGCAAACAAACAAGACTGCTGCTCCTTGACAACAGTATATACTCAGGATGTACTAATTAATACCTATCACAAGTCATTACGAAAATATTGATATATCGGGGATACTTTGGGTTTGTTTTCATTCAGTTAGCAAAGTTTGCATTCATGACAAGTCAGATTAAAATCATGAAATTAAACATCATCTACTAATTCCTGTGATTTGAAGAGCGAAACATATTTTTGACAGGCATCCTGTATACATATTGTGTATCTCTAGTATGCTTTGTGACCATAGCAATTTCCAACATAACATCAATCAACTTTGAATTGACCAAACTTTGCAGGGATGAGTCCAATGTATGGGCCAATTTTGTACTTGAGTCTTTTAGTGCATTCATAGTAGGACAATAACAAATTACAAATGAAAAGACCACATGCAATTTAGTTTGGTATGTACAACAGTACATGAATCAGTATTGTGATAATTGCACTTCAGAAGTCATGCTAATACCTTTACCCTTACTGGTTGTTACGGAAGCTCATTGACTGCCTGGCTCAGAGGCAATAACAGTTGCAGGGGTGGAAATAACTTTAAAATTGATAGTGTACTCTGGTACAGTGGCATGTAAAGTCACTTGCCCTGATCATTTTTCCACTATACCGACCGTTTTCTTCTTGATTTTTTAAATAAACAACATAATTAACATTGGAAAGTCAACTTGACACCGGTACAGTGTGATATACATATTTGCTTGCCCGACAGAAAAAAACACTGGACTCGGACATCGGGCAATGGGTTATTTCCACCCCTGAGTTGTTACATAAACAAGATAAATCCTGATATCTGATCAGTCATGACAGTTACTTGTAATTTTGGTCCTCAAGAAAATCTAAAACAATATTGTGGTGATGGGGTAGCCTTTTGGTTAAGGCGTTTGTTCATCACGCCAAAGACCCTGGTTCGATTTGGAATTTCCCCACATGGGCACAATACCAAACTCACCCACTCACTAAGGCAAAATATTTCCCTATTATATAATGTTTGTTGTAGGTGTCTTCATAGTCAAGGCTTCATGGTCACCTGTATATAATCAGTTTTGAAGAACTTGTGATTATTAGAAATAATCCATGCTGACAGACAAGACAATTCTGGTGGTTAAATGTTTTCTTTTAATCTTCCAATCTCGCACGTGGTTTCCCACACTTCCACGGCGCACTGAACCCCGAAACAAATATGACTTCCCATGTGGCTTACACATGCCATTTGGGTTCATGGAAATGCAGACAACCAAGTTACCCAGAGTGATCAACCTTCCATTTAATCACCTCTTTTGAGTGGGAGTAGCACAGTTGCATAAGATACCATAATTCCCTGTGCAGAGTTGCATCCCTTGAGCATGCCATTGCCCTATGGTTGTGCTTCATTTGGACTTTCCTGCCACACTAACCTCACATGCAGTGACAAAACTAAAGTCGTGTTCAAAGCATTGTTAAGTCCATCTCTCTCTCACTGGGAATCCCTTCAATATGGATACTAACAGGTTGTCATAGTGATGACAATGACTGGACTGAGAAAACCATATAATCATTCCATTTAATATAGGTCTGTTTCATTTTGTGACTTTGATGTTTCTTTTATGTAAAAACTTGAGGTAGACAGTGACATGATGAAACGCTTAATCCATTCTCTGAGATCACGTGACTGAGCCATGGAAACACCGCAAGGTGAGGGATCATGGGTAATCTCTGGCTCCCAGGGTTCTCCTGTGTGTTGGGGTGATCTCATGTGACCTGTCCGTGGTGACGTCATGGTGGGATGCTCGTGTCCCTCAAGATGTAATTAAGGCTCTGATCACTGTTCACAGCTAAATTAGAGAATGAAGTGGTCTTTCCAAATGGCCCCGAGCCATATAAGGCTACTTAGGTTAAAACCTTCATGTAAAGACTCACTTATTCCATGACACCCTCACTCATGCCATAATTCACTAAATCTCAATTCACTCACATCCTATCGTCCCACTCCTTGATTCCACATCTAACACACATGATCTTCTTGCAGGCGATGTACATGGGAGAGAAGCAGAGCTTCACACCAGAACAGCTGACTGGCATGATGCTGAGCAAGCTGAAACACATCGCAGAGTCGGCACTCAAGACCAAAGTTGTTGATGTCGTCCTGTCTGTAAGTCCACAACTTGTCACCTTCAAACAATTTGTAACAACATGCTAATGATAGAAAATCCCTTTATGACACTTAAATCAACAGAGAAAATATTTGATAACAGTTCTGTTGTTAATGACAGAAATATTGTACAATTATTTGAATCTTTCCATACTAATAATAGATGACTGACTAATGTTTGTTATGTGCTGATCCGAGTGGTGAAGTGTTGATTCCTGGCCTGTGTTGCAGGTGCCGACGTTCTACACAGATGCTGAGAGACATGCTCTTCTTGACTCCTGTCAGATGGCTGGTCTCAACTGTCTCCGTCTCATGAATGATACCACAGCAGGTAGGTCTCGCTTGGCTTTCACCATGATCTAGATAAACAGTATGTCTGTCGTGTTCAAGCAAAAAACAATTAAATATCATACTACAAATGATTAGTGGTGTTTGACAGGAATGAGTTAGGTGATCTGTTTTCACGGACCCTGTGACACCTCAGCATCAGATTATGCATATATTGTGTGTTGTCATGATCTTGTTCATATCTTAACACGATTGCCAAGAGAAACATTGTTATGCTTACTGTTGACTTCTCAAACATGAAAAAAACAAACCATTTCTCCCATGGACTTGGAGCCATAGTTTCGCTGTGGATTGCTGAAGTGATGATGATAATGCATGCTACAAAATATCAAAGAATTTGAGAAACATTTGATGAATTATCAGGAAATCACAATGGAGTAGCCAATCACTAACCTGGAATTCAATCACATGCATTTTTTATCTAAGTTTTTAAATAAGTTTCTTGTCCACTTCTCTATAAGAGTAAGTCACAATGTTTAATAGGGGTGACTATTGAGGAGGGGGAAACAACTATTGCAATAGCGATAAACAATTGCAACATACTATTGCCACCAACTGTTGCAATATTACTGCAATAGTTTTTTTCTCCCTGAATTATCTCATTTGAAGTCATTTCCCAAATGAACGTATGTTTATATGAAATAAAAACAAGTTGAAGTAGTTTCAGTCTCTTTTGATAACTGACAAGAAACTTGAAACCCAGATCCAGCGCTGTTTTTCACAATTTCAAACTTCGAGTCACATGCTGTTTGCCGCCATGTTTGTTAAAGAAGTAACAGGGGCGGATAACTTTAAATCAAAGTGAACGAATCTGGTACTGCGCTGCACATTTATCAACGGAAGTCAATTATTGAACTATCGATAGTCACACATACTAGTATAGCATTTTCACAGAACAATTCTCTGATGGAAAAAGTTGACTTTTAACATGACATTGGTGCTTACAGCGGCTCTTGCCTATGGCATCTACAAGCAGGACCTTCCAGCTGAGACAGAAAAACCCAGAAACGTCATCATCATCGACTTTGGCTACTCCTCCTTGCAGACAGCAGCGTGCTCATTCAATAAAGGCAAGCTGAAGGTAAGAGTTGTCTGCCCACATGGGAGAAGGGCTGTCAAACATTTACTCACTGCTGTTGGGCATTCCATGTTAGAACTGGCCATTGCCAAGCTGGTCATAGGAAGCGACTCTGGGTGGGTAGGTGGGAGAGGCTGGACATTGTTTAATGTGATGTTAAACCCCCTCGCTCACACTTACAATGTTTCAGGTGGCTGCAACTTCCTCGGACCCCCAGCTAGGTGGACGCAACTTTGACGAAAAGCTTCATGAGGTGTTCCGAGAAGAATTCAAGACAAAGTACAAAATTGACCTGGAGACCAAGCCAAAGCCTTATCTGCGCATGCTTCAAGAGTGCGAGAAACTCAAGAAATTGATGAGTGCAAACACACAGAACATTCCAATCAATATTGAGTGTCTCCATGATGACAGAGATTTCAAATCCAAAATGGACAGGTTAGTGTTAAAGAACAAAGACTTTTATATTGATATAAGTGCTTACATGTTCTAAAGTTGGAATTCAGTCTTTTTAATCTCCATGAATAAATAAAAAAATATTTTCTGTTTTTCTGCAGTTTTTCCGACCCTAACGAGCGTGTTAAAATCTGCATTCATTTAATTTCCAATCCGTCTTTTGTAATTGAGACGGAAGTTACATTACGCTGTCATTGATTGGTGGAATTTTTCCTTGTGACCAATCAGGACAGCTGTTATAAATAAGGTCGCTTTGAGTGCCATTTGAAAGTGTAGACGATGTCGGTATTCGAAAGAAAGGACGCTGCTCGAAGGAAAGAAATTGATAAACATGTCAAAAATAAGTTTCGATGGGACTGGATAGAAAGGGAAATCATTCATATTGTTGGCAAGACAGACCCCCAGCTAAATTTCAGTCTTTTTCAGTTAGGTCAAATCACATGCCTGGTTCTGTGACAGATGGGCCAGGTTAAATAATGTGTAAAGAGGTGTTATGATTCACCAAAGTGCAGAACCTCTGACCACAGTGGATGTTGATCAAATAGACCGTTTGAAGATCCCGGTTAGAATTGGTCTTCAGACGGACGGGATCAGTTGGTTGGGCTCGCTGACTTGGTTGGCACTTGTCATCGTATCCCAACCTAGTATACTGATGCTTATCATGCTCACTGGATTGTCTGGTCCAGATTCAATTCTTTACAGACCGCAGCCATATAGCTGGAATATTGCTGAGTGTGCGCTAACTAACTTGATCAAATGTCATACATATCAATTATAGATAAGCACATTGCATCCTTTTGTGTTCACCTTGATTTACAACAGACATCCGTGGTTTCAGTAATTCAAATCAAATCCCTCAAAATGTGTGAGCTGGGTTTCTAATTGAAGTTTATGGCTTGAAATAGGTTCTCCTATGTCTCTATTGGATAGAGTGACTGCTAAGAGATCAGGTCGGTGGTTCACTGGCCTTTTTCTCAATTAAACAGATGGGACTTATATCCCTGCCTGGCACTCCGCAATAAGAGTATGTAAGAGGGATAGGTCAGCTATTCATGTAAACATACTTGTAATGGTCGTAAAATCCTGTTTCATGTTTCAGAACTCGATTTGAAGAGCTCTGTGAAGATTTGCTAAAAAGAATAGAAAGCCTCCTGAAGGATATTCTGGAAAAGTCAAGTGAGTTGTTACTGTTCATCCTTTCATGATGATAGTGATATATGATTGTACATTTAGATATTCCCAGTCATATTACATTCTGAGACAGTTGTCTGAAGTCACTGTGAAGAGTTACATCCCTTCTTGACACAAGGAACCTTAAATCATGGTTTCAAATCACAGCTTGAACTAATTGTTTATAGATTAGTCTTTTCTAATTAACACTTGCTTTGGTTCTTATACAAAGTTTGTTGTTCAATACTTGTCAAAGAAATGCTTTCCAGCTTGCATGAAGACAATAAGTAATGTATCCAGCCGTTGTTCATGAGTGCAAGACAGAATGTGTGTAATGGAGTTTTCATCTTCATTTCTTGTGGAATTTGAAATTTTGTTTTGTTTCAGTGTGGAAAACTAGTGACATATACTCGGTGGAAATTGTCGGTGGTTCTAGTCGTATTCCGTCATTCAAGAAATTGGTTACAACCATATTTGGCAAAGAGCCTAGTACCACTCTCAATTCTGACGAGGCCACATGCAGAGGCTGTGCTCTACAGGTAATGCAGTTTCTCTAATTCAATTCCAGATGAATAGTCTTTGATTCTTAACTTAGAAAATCAGCCCAGAATAATTTGTACTTTGAACAAAACATGAATAACTAATAAACCATCTCTCCAGAACATAAGTATCAAAAACCTAATACAGATAAAGAAGTGGGAGGGATATATAAGAACAGGTGCACGGCAGTCCTTTCAGTTTTGGCCATGACAGATTGACTGTAGGCATGTGGGAAAACATCATTGTTGTGTTACTTCTGTTGAGTAACCATTTCCATCATTAGTTGATGGGATCCTAAATTTGATGTATCACTGGGTTTTATATAGTACCTATTGGGTTATGATGATGGGATACAAGTAGATGTGAACTCTGACACGACAGTCATGTGGTGCTTCATATGGACATGCATGGCTGAAGACACAAGAGTCGTAGAAACAGTTGGGGGCCTTCATTAAAGAGATGTGATAGGGCTTTCATTCATATTTTTCTCAAGTAATACAAGCACCTTCCTCATTTTAAGTTGTGTAGTACATGTATGTGACAAAATGTGTTTTCAGTGTGCAATTCTGTCACCAACGTTCCGAGTGCGGGACTTCCACGTGACAAACTCGCAGCCCTACCCCGTCACACTCAGCTGGCAAGGGACGATAGACGAAGACAGGTCAGTGTCTCAACTTGCTTCGCAAGCCTGTTATTTTTTTGCCAACCTCTATATTCTATTTTGTTCACTACAGAAAACAGTGACATGCAGTTGCACTGAAAACATTTGACTTCATCAACAGTTACATTTGTTCCCTGACTCAGAAAACAAATTTAGTTGAGTTTAAGTCGATGTGAATGTGTATTCTGTTCAATCATAATTACTAGAATTTAATTAAAAGCTTCTGCCTTGAAATTTTGGTAGCTGTGAATTTTTGCAGTAAAAATTACAAAAACCAGAACTTATGTTCTGTGATAAATATTGCAGCGAAACATTTCCGTTGTGTAATTATGCATTAAATCAGCATGTGTTGTTGCAGTTCCCTTGAGGTGTTCCCACAGAACCATGCTGCACCATTCTCCAAGATGCTGACGTTCTACAGGAAGGAACCATTTACACTGTTCGCTAAATACACATACCCCAACAATATTCCATACCCAAGACCAGAGATAGGTAATTGAACAGCTTTAGTGATCTCTGTAATAAGTAAATTTTTAGTTAATCCTGCACTACTTCCTTCCTGCACTTATTGCTTACGACTCGAAACGTGGCTGTGCCAGACGATTGATGTTGAAAGCGTAGACTGTGATCACTTCCTGGTCTCGGGTAAACATCCATCTGCGCACGCATCACGTCAGCCACCTCAGATTATTGCTTTTCGCACGTCTCGCAAGACGTGTGGTTTGCCAGCTCGACTGATTTGTATCCTATGAATTGTGTTTGTTGATAATAAACTGACTTGTGGATGTTTTCCTTTGTTTTTCAGAGGGTGTAGCTATTACCCTTCTGTTTCTTTTTTGTAGTACTGTTGTAGTGATGGTGTTTGTGTTAAACACGATAGTTTTCATCACTATTATCGGTCACTTCGCCATTCAGAACACGTGGTTCGATGTATTCGTAGTGGCTTGTTCTTGGCTCATGCTTATTTGTTATACTATTATCGTATATAAGCCATAATTCTGGTCTCAAGTTTTTGTCAGTATTTGTGAGAGCGTTTGTTAGACGTGTGTTCCTCATTACTATTGTAATGTTTTTCATCGTGTGTTTGCTGGGGGTTTCTGCTATGTTACAGTTTCTATACGGCACACGCTGTATAGTTTGTAAGGCAGGGTATCTCATAAGTGCCTTCATTCATACTGTTTGAATTGCACTTTTCTGTGTTTTTCCCCGTTTTTCACATGAATGAATGTGCTTGTTGCGCTTTCTTAATATATCATCTTAACACCTTTTTTCAGTCTATGAAGCGCCAGGTCCAACACCGACGTCACCTATGGCAAGCACCCAGATACTTGCCACACCACTGATGTCCACTAACTCTAGGGCGTCTGGCACTCCGTCTCCATTCTCCAGGTTGCTGTTTTCAGATCGAGTTTCCATGGCAGGCGTCATACTCCTGACACCTAAGATCTATGCGCCGCACGCTCGGCAGTCACTGGATGTTTCGACATCCATTCCACACTTGACCTAGTTAGCAGGGACTGCAGCCTGTACGGCGCATCTATCACATCGACTACGACCTCAGCGTTCAGCCATTGGTGTCAGCTTCTCCGTCGCCATACCTACCTGTTCCAGCTTCGTTCCTGACTACAGCAAATGTATGGTCTACCTGATCCAGCGCCTGTATGGTGCCTGTAAACCATACTTACTCACTCCAGAGCCTGTATGGCGTTTCCACCAGATCCAGCGCTTGTATGGCGCTTATAACACCATACTCACTTGCTCACTCCAGCACCTGTCCGGCGGTTCTACCAGATATAGCGCCTGTACGGTGCCTATAAACGGCGCCTACTCACTCCAGCGCCTGTCCGGTTTTTCTACCAGATATAGCGCCTGCTACCAGCTGTATGGCGCCTTTTCGAGATCCACCGCCTATACCATCATACTCACTCACTCCAGTGTCTTGTCCAGATTTTCTACCAGATGCAGTGCCTGTACGGTGCTACCAGCTGTTTGGCCCTTCTACTGGATCTAGCACCTGCATGCGCTCTACCAGCTGTTTGGGCAGACCCTTCTACTGGATCTACCGCCTATAAACCCATACTTACACTGGCAGCGATGGAACAGTGTTGGACTCTGAATACTGTGTTCCACTACCTGTTTTGCCATACTTCGCACCAACTCCAACATCTTCAAGGGTTCACTCGTCATATGAGTGAAATATTCTCGAGCACGACGTATAACCCAATTTCAATTTCAAGGGTTTGGCAGCTGTTGGTTGCGCCACTGTCTCCGATGGCCCCTACGTCGGGAGACGAACTCATCTTGCCCTCGGAGACTTCAACTATTATGGCGCTAAGGCCGGGCGTGGCGTTTACACAATCCCTAGTCAAGAAATTAAGCGCGTGACAGTTCTCAAACTTAGCTTGGGTTATTAACACTGACTCTCCAGACCTGACCTGAGATGAATCCGTACAGGATCGTCACCTCTCTTCTATGATGGCTTGGTAGTGGATGGTCCTCACTGTCCTTGGCGAACACTTACGGGCAGATCTCGCCAATGCATGTGTTATTTGAGGTCAAGGTTTTCTCCCCCCTTTTTCCGGTTGGGATTCAAAGTTTCAGTGGAATCTATCTGGCCAACCCTAGTCCTTGACTACCATATTTAATAAAGAGTTCAAGGACGTCTATCTGAACAGTGTGCGACTTTCCTCAGAGGGAGATAGCGTTGACAGCCTTCCAACAAGTCCAACATCCCTCATCACATGAATCCAGTACTCTTGCCTCGGCGCCATACTGTTAGGCGGGCTTGGAATCAGGCTCCGGTCATATCGACAAGGGAGGATATGAACGTAGCTGCTTCCCCTTCAAGGGTGTCGGAAGCAGGGGCAAATGAAGCTCTAGATCCACACGACTGGACACTCCCGCTTCCAGAGGTCCTCGTCTTATCCAAACACCCGTGACTACTGCATTTCTGACGTAATTGGTTATTTCTTGGGGGTCCATACGTCAAGACATCTGGAAACATTTGTTCCGGCTCCTCATAGCTGTGCCTTAACGATGTGCCTGGTTCTGAGGTTTACTTTCGACCGGGAGTACCTGCGCTTTTACTTCAACAGCTCCATGGTTATTAACTCATATCATAATGCAGCAACATTGATTTGATAAATTGGTGATTTCACGTGTGCTCTCCACCATATGGCGTAATTTGTATACGGACAGCAGCCGGTTTTCACCATACGTCTTTATACTAGCTGGGCTAATTAGCTGGGTTGACTTGTCAACCGGGACGTTTCGGACCTTGTACCATCACACACACTGACGTACATTTGAAGCCTCTTTTAAGCAGACAAGATCCTCATTCGGGAATCTGGCAGGTATCGACCCTCATCCCATGTGTGCTGTTCGGACCGATGTCCACCCGGGAATGACAGGCGGACATTCATCAACGTTGTCGGTCTCCTGCCTCCCTTACCTCAGTATTTTTTTCTTGTAGTGGACTCGCCCATAGATGTCATAGCTGCAGTCCTCTTGACTGAGCGAGTTCCGAACTACCTATGTTTAGTTCGGCGCTTCCATGCAGAATTGAGGCCCCCTATATCTGATAATCTCAGGGTTTCGGGTCATAATCAGCAGTCTGAGTAATATCCGGGCGGGGGTTTAGGTCATGAGAACAATCAGCAGTTTGGAGCTCTAAGGCAGTGTTCCTCGCTATCCGGAATATTGCTGGGCGAAAACATTGTCTCCTAGCTATCTTGGGCGCGACTGTTGTGTGGGGTTTAACAAGAGTTTGACCGGGTTACTATTTCCAGAAGTTCCGTCTCTTTTCCAGCAATAGCCAACATCCATGTCTGTCTGAGAACTCAGCATATGCCTGGGTGCAGGTACATCTTAGCTGACGCTATATCGGGATCTGACAGTCGCTTTCACAGACTGAATGCTACACAAAGAGATACCGGTTTATGTGTGTCTGTCTCCGGATGGTCAGCCTGGGCAGTGGATGCTTAAGCCTTTCCTGGGGGAGCTACATGCAAAATACGTGTCCTCCGGTCTTGCTTCCAAATGTTTTCGTCCCAATCAAGAATTAACAACTTGACTTCGACTATATTTAGTCGGTCCCAGATGACCAACCAGAGGTTGGTTTCTGATTTGAAGCAGTCTAGTGTCCAGTGCCCCTCTTCAACTAGCCAGATGGGGAAACATCCTATAGTGTATCCTAATCCCACGCCAGAACGGTTCAATTAACACACTGCATCTGCAGGCGGCATTTTGCGCCAATTACTTTTGAGCCAGAGCATTGATACTGCATTGCTGATGAACATTAGACTCCCATCAGGCACATGTATAACAAGGGGCAGTCGTTTGAGCAGTTGTGTTGCCACGAAGCAGGATCCGCTGAATACACACACACCTGTTTTTTTAGCAGTTTCCCTGCTGTATTTTTAGACGGAAGGCGTTTCAGGAGGGACATGGCTGCCACTTATGTTAGTGGCAATTCGTTTTAGCAGTCCCCATTGACAGCAGTTACCGTCAGTGCTTCGTTTCTTTAGCACTTGTGAACCCAAGCTGCAGTTTTGACCACCCACCAGGACTCTCAACATGGTCCTGGACTGCCTACGCATTGTTTTACAAGTCACTCACGAACACTTCCCTTGCAGACTTGCACAGCAATAGCGACAAGGGTCATGCGTTGGTGCGCTTCGTGTTAATTGGATCCAGTTTGAACGACGTAGTCATGGTTTTATACCTCTGGGTATTTTATGGGGATTTCATCACTACACACTCGTTGCCAGCTAGGGCGAAATGATCGACGGTACTCTATTTCGCCCTTATCGTCTGTTGTCGGCGTGAAGACGTGCCTGTGTTCAGCTGGTGTACTCAGTTTGTACATTAAGCGACCTCAAGCCGTCAGAGGCATGTAAGCAAACCCCCGAGTGTTTTGTGGATACGGACTTCCTTTATTCGTGGGTATAATGCAGCTGGTCTGGTTTCCCCTACATCTCCGCCATCTAGTACTTCGCACACTCGCCTCTACTATGGCGCTTTACTGTAACTGTACAGTGGCATTGATAATGCAAGAGTGTTTCTAGAAGTTGGGGGTGGTGGGGTAGCCTAGTGGTTAAAGCGTTGTCTCGTCACTCCGAAAACCCGGGTTCGAATCCCCACATAGGTACAATGTGTGAAACCCATTTCTGTTGTCCCCGCCGTGATGTTGCTGGAATATTGCTAAAAGCGGCGTGAAACCAAACTCAGTCAGTCTAGAAGTCGGGCACAGTCTTCGCCAATCAGTATCCACACCATATGAGTCCAATGCTTCGGACCATTGGTGCCAGACCAGCACCTCAACAATCCCCGAAGGATATCACATCCTACATTGTTGTTCGCAATGAAGCATGACGATATCATGTGGGGATGTCGTGTGGGGAATGAGTTGTTTTGAACAAAACAACTGGGTATGTCAGTTAAGGAGTAACACCTGGATAGACTCAGGTCCATGCTTCTTACTGCATTCCCTAAAGCTAATAACGCTTTAAAAATCGTGTGGCCTTTTCCATTTAAGCGTACATGGCTTATATGTGAATGACCACTGAGAGGTAATCCTCTCTGTCGACCAGTCTTCCAGATTCCACGATCGAAGGTGTCTTCGTTCATGATGTTGCTTCCCACGAGGCATGATGTCGCCGTGTGGGAAAAGAGTTGTTCCGAGGGAAACAACTGGGTGTGTCAGTTAAGGAGCAAGACTTCGAAAACTCAAGTCACTGTTTTTTACTGCATTTCCCTAAAGCTAATCTTGCTTTAAAAATCGCGTGGTCTTTTTCATTTAAGCCTACATGTCTTATATGCGAATGACCACTGAAAGATAGTCACTGTCTGTTGACTATTCTGCAAGGTGCAAAGAAGATACCTTCCACCATGCTTTTCTTCCAATGAAGCACGCTGATGACGTATGGGAAAAGAGTTGTTCCAGGAGAACAACTGGGTGTGTCAGTTAAGGAATAACTCTTGGGTTAACCCGAGTCACTGCTTTTTACTACATTTCCCTAAAGCTAATAACGCTTTCACCATCGTCTGGTATATTCCATTTAAAACTATGTGTCCTATTTGCGTATTACCACTGCCTGATCGTCACTCGCTGTCCGATCTAGGTGTGACGACAGTTTTCAACCACCGAGGGGCACTTGATAACATTGACCGAGCTGTCTTTGTTTACCTTGCGAGGCGATCCCCACAGATGACACGCCCTCCATCCTGCCTGTCTGATAAATGTGCAGGAAGTAAGTGGTGCAGGATTAGTTAAAAAATTGGTGAAATCTAAATATTTTTTATATTTGTATACTTATCCTGCACTACTTATGATAAGGGCCCACCCTGCGCTTTCAGCTACCTCCCCTCTTTGTTTTCATCTGTGGTATTTACGGCAATAATCAGAGGTGGCTGACGTCACCTTACGGTGATACGTGCGCAGATGGATGTGTACCCGAGACCAGGAAGTGATCACAGTCTACGCTTTCAACATCAATTGTCTGGCACAGCCACGTTTCAAGTCGTAAGCAATAAGTGCAGGAAGTAAGTAGTGCAGGATAAGTATACAAATATAAAAAATATTTAGATTTTACTAAAATATGTGTGTCAGCAATTTGTGCAGGATTAAGTAGTGTAGGCTTTGGTTTTATGTCAGGAGCATTTCAGTGTAGAAATAATGTTTTATATGATTCAAAAATTGACCATTTGTGATCATTTTTCTTAAATTATTATGAGACACTTTGGTCACAAAGATTTCAAATGCTTTTAGAAGTGTGCAACAATTTGACCCTTGTTAATGATTTCTTCCTTATTTCTAGGATCTTTCCTGATAGACAAGGTTGTACCCCAGAGTAGTGGGGACAGCTCCAAGGTCAAGGTGAAAGTGAGAATAGACAGTAACGGTATATTCAAAATAGCGCAGGCCAGCATGGTGGAGAAGCTTGGGGAAGAGGAGAGCTCCCAGAATGAGATGATGGATGTGGATGAGGAGAAGAAAGAGGAAAAGAACGGAGAAGCTAATGAGGAAAATAGCAAGGAGGCCAGCACTGAGGAGACTCCCATGCAGACAGATGACACCGCTGCGGCGGAGAACAGCACAGAACAGGCAGGGGACGAGACTCAGCCTATGTCAAACTCTGATGAGAAACCAGCGGTAGGTGATGTTGTACCTGGAACATTTGAACCCTTTTGAACATTACTGTTGTCATCGATTTCGTCTCAATATTTGGGGGAGGTTTTTTTTTTAATGAATTTGTACCAAAATTCAAAAGGTTCAGACCTTACTTTGTTATAGCACATCTAGCAATAGTCATGACACTCCAAGCAAAGTATCGAAAGTTGCTTTAATTAAAATAGCACAGAATAAAATTATCAATCACAATTCCAGGGGATCACACGGATGAATTGTAATGTTGATACCAGAAGATTGTAACTGAATATCACCAGTGTGTGAAATAAGGCCCGTCCGACCGTCCGAGACGGTCTAGATTTCTGACGGACAGTCTCACTTTACATCTAGCCAAGCCCGATGGTCTGTTAAAAATTTAGATGTTCCATACATCTGAGTAAATTCACCATATTTGGTCTGGTTAAATCCATTTTGGGCTGGTAACATTTTGAAGTTACCAGCCCTGATGTCTGGCTGGATGTTTGGCTTTGTGATATACAGATCTATGTGGTAAATGCAAATGCAGTTGATGTGTTTAGGTAACTGTGAAAGCTAGTTCCTTGTTCTCTCAGTGATATCTTGTTTGTGTTTTGCCAGGAGGGAGAGGAGGAAAAGAAGAAGGGGAACAAAAAACCAAAGAAGATGACACGGACAGTCGAACTGCCAGTCCATTCAACCACCCCAGCAATCCCTAAAGATCAGCTGAATTTGTATGTAGAGAAAGAGGTATGTTATCATAAACACACTACAGGTGTTGCCTGTACTATATACGCTGCTTGTTGATATAACCTGGCCTAATGTTAATGTTGGTTTACAGTACTCTAAATACCATGGTCCAGGTTTGTGGAGGTAATCAGCACATGGGCAATGGTTGAATTAAACTGGGTTCCACACTCGTCTTCTGTTGATTTTGTTATGGTTAATAAATTGCCGTGACAACAGGTATAAGAATCCCCATTGAACCAGCAAAATATAACACAGACAAGTCTAACATATTCAATAATATATTGAGCAAACAATGAGCAAGCTACAATGAATCACAATACAGATATCTAGTACAATGCAATTGAGTCACAAATACAAAATATCAACGCACCACGAGCCTTGATAATTACAGTGAGATCAGATATTCTAAATAAAGCTTGTTTACAAATGAGAGCAGTCAGACGATGGCGACAAAGGACGACGGTAGGCAACTCCAGTGATATCAAAAGTCCCGTGTAATTCCATGTGTTAGTCCATGTGTCAGTCCTTGTCGCACAACACAACAGCCAGCCTTTATATATACTGTCACAGATTCTTAAACTTTCCAGCAAACCGTTGGCTGTATCATTATTTCCTCAGAATCTTCGAGATCTGTGTCATGTTTATGACATGATGGAAGCCGGATATAGGATAGTCTAAGGGCAGGTAACTCTGGATCGCTATCTCAAAAGGCGTGCCGATAAAAATACTATTGCTTTTGAACATATATGACCCAAAATGCAACCCATAACCAACACTCAAAACTTTAAACATTGTGACTCATAATACCTATCACCTAACCAATGTTATTACAAACTACAAAAAACACACTCTCGTAACATTTCTTGTCAGCTGCCATTAGAGTTCAGATTAACATTCAGTTTTCCCAGTTGAGATTTTGTTCTCCAGCAACCTTTACCTGTCATCAGCAGCTGGAGTGATCAGGCTATGTGATTTGATTGAATGCGTATTCTCATACCCTGTTGGAGTAGATTACTCCTTGTTATTCAGTAGACAAGCAATTAGTTGTGTATTGATTGGGTTGTGTGTTCGTTCCCCAGAACCAGATGATCATGCAAGACAAGCTTGAGAAGGAACGGGCAGATGCTAAGAATGCTGTAGAGGAATACGTGTACGAGATGAGAGATAAACTCAGCACCACACTAGAGGAGTACGCCAAGGAAGAGGTGAGTAGGTCGAGGATCTAGTGGGGGGAAAATATACTGCAAGGTCACAATACAGTACTCATCCAGTTAGATAGATCACGATACAGTATAATCAAAATACATAGTCACGTCATATCGCACTGAAACTTCTTGACTTTGAGTATTTCAGTTTTGAATGGAAAGGCTAGCTGTAGATGCTTGTTTGTCCGTTCTTATTTCAGTAGTGAACATGAAACGTTAATTACAATTGTTTTTGTGATATTTGAATAAGTGTTGGGAATTCGTTAAAATCTCATAATTGATGATTGGTTCATTACAACCGATCAATCATCGAAAATAATTGGATGGCATCATTTATCAAATTTTCCTGGTTATGTTTGTTAATGCACATAAAATAAAAACAAAACATGTAGTTCTTTGGGGGTTTTGAACAAAATGCATTTGCAAATTTCACATCTTTAAAGGATGACCAGTATGTTAGAAACATAAATTTCCTGTAGTCTCTAAGATAAATTCAATCATGACTTGGAACGAGTTTGTAGTGCTTATGAAATGTAACAGACAAAACAAACCTTGTGAAAAATATTGTCAATGCAAACAAGTGTTCCAAAATTGTTTGTGTTCGATTATGAGAAAACATGATCGATTGCTTAGACAATTAGTCATTGCGACCAATTTTCGATTATTTCAATTAATCGCACCACCACTAATTTGAATAACAAAACATTGAATGGGGAGTGTCATTAAGTGGGTAGTGTGTATTTTAGCTAGTGCATCTTCTTATATATACATACAGCAGAAAGGTATTGTGTATCCTACAGTTGCATGAAAACTGGGGCTGAAACGATTCACCCAGACTTCAATTTAATTCGATTTTCTATTTTGGACCCTCAATTTGATCATTTTCGATTCGATTCGTCATACAAGTAAAAACATCAGATTTCATTTAACTCTCAGAGTCGTCTTTTTTAGCGTGAAATCCATCGTCAACTTGGCGATGTCTACTAACAACAGTTCTCATTGGATAATTAGCCTGGCGTCAACCAATCATGTTTTGCCTTATTTCAGCTCTCGAAACTGCTCGAGTTGGAGTCAAAAGTACATTCGGGCTGTGTGGAAATAATTTAAATAGGTATTCAAATTTTGAACCGAAATAGTGATAATGGTTATCGAAAATGAAAACTAAGGTGTCGGATTCGATTTTCAATGAATCGAACCAAATGTTGCAGCCCTAATGAAAACTCGCAATCCACAGTTGCATCATTAGGCCTAAAAAAAAAATGTTGTGGTTCCGATTACCCGACTGACCCTTGAATTCTGGTGCCAACCCTATTTTTTTAAGTGGAATGAATAAAATAAGCTTTCAGATACGATTGTTTTTTGACGCCACCAACAGATATCTGTCATTCTGATAGAGAAAGTCGATATGATGCCTCAAGCTTGATTGAATAAACAATTACACGTTAATAAATGTGTTATTAGTTTGTACTTTACTTCTAAAAAAAATATGTAATTTATTTTGTTTAAATTCCGACCTACCTACCCTAAATTTTTAAGCAGTATAATCGGGGAAACCACAACATTTTTTTTCATTTGGCCTTAGCAGCTGTTCCAGGAAATACACCAACAGTGCCCATTTGGTTGAGTTTGGGGCAGTTTCAGTCTCATTAGGAGCAAGTGGGTTGATGTCTGTTTTGATTTGGTTTATCATATGTCATAGTGTTTATAAGTTACTCATCACTTGAGGCGGTCCTCCCACTTGAAGCTGCCAGGCAGTACCACAACAGATACATATCAGAAGCAGCGTGGAATACAAATCTCTTTTGTTAACAGTGATATGATGAAACGCTTAATCCATTCTCTGAGATCACGTGACTGACCCATGGAAACACCGCAAGGTGAGGGATCATGGGTGATCTCTGGCTCCCAGGGTTCTCCTGTGTGTTGGGGTGACCTCATGTGACCTGTCTGTGGTGACGTCATGGTGGGATGCTCGTGTCCCTCAAGATGTAACTAAGGCTCTGATCACTGTTTATCAACATATTGGGGGCTGTTAGTGCATGTTTATTGTAATATATGTGTTTGTTTTTCATGTGAAGTCAATTCTGTTGTTTTAGAAGTGAAATTGATTTCAGAAATGATTGTGTGTACAGAAAAGGTTATAGTTTGATGGATGTGTTTTAGGATCGGGCTCACCTAAGCAAGTTGTTGGAGGACACAGAAGAATGGCTCTATGACGAGGGTGATGATCAGAATAAGCAAGTCTATGTTGACAAACTGGCAAGTTTAAAGGTTCGTACCCTTTACATCAATACCAATGTTTGTAGTGGCAGAGACTCATGGTTGATTTGGATGTGTTGATCTGATGACCATCAGACTTCTAATTGGTCCTGGTTAATAATTATAAGTTTCCAAAAATTGACATGGCACAGAAGTCTTGGTTCTTCCTTCACAAAGGATGGTAAATCTGTCTCATAAAGGAAATGTTGTTTTTTCTGAAAAATTGGTATCAAGTTATTACTATTTAATATTTAGTGCAGAGTTGCATCCCAAGAATCACCCACAATATAATCCTTGTGTGTCAGCAGCATACTTGTTTTTGCTGTTTCCAAATAACTGATAGTTGTTTGCGACTTGGACTAATTTGAGCTTTCCTCCCAAAACAGCATGCCCACTGTGACTTAACTAGCACACTGCTAACAAACAGCAGCTTAAAGTGTTCAAACACTCATTCATTTCAGAAACTTGGCCAGCCAATTGTGGACCGCCATAGAGAGGCTCAGGACAGGCCACAGGCATTTAGCGAGATAGGTGCTTCACTTCAGCATGTAAGGAAATTCTTGGATTTGTGGAGTCAAAAGGATGAGAAGTACGACCATATAGAAAAATCTGATGTGGACAAAGTGCAGAAATGTTACGATGAAAAGTTGAAGTGGTACGAGACGAACATGAACATTTCAAGCAATGCTCAGAAATATGACAGTCCAACTGTGCTGGTTTCACAGATTATACAACAGAAGCAGGTAAGTGTGTTATTTTACTAGCATGGATTGTTGTTCTTGGTATGAACCACTATATGTGGTCAAGATTTAATGATTTATGAGCCACCCTTTTGTACCTGGGAATATTGCGCTGCAAAACACAAAACGAGAAAGAAAAGTCCCATCCATATTTTTGTTCTCAAATTAGACAAAATGATTTTCTGATACCTTTTGTCATTTGGAGTGATCAGATTATTTGTTGACCTGATCCAAAGCTTACAATCCTGTCTCCAGGTCACTATAAAGCTGCATCACATCAACCTGAAGTCACGGATGATTGCGCATGATTTCTGTCACTTATTTTCCTGACACTTACAAATTATCATCATATATATCGGAAATATTGATAACTGACATTAAGCATCTACTACTTTTTATGGCAGTACTTTGTGTTTTTGTTGCCAAGGGAACATCCCCTGCTGTGATATCACTAGAATATTGCCAAAGGCGGCGTAAAACCAAACCCCCTCACTCACCCAGGGAAACATCTCGTAACTGTTTAGAAGCCTATATTCAAGTCAGCAGCTAATGACAATTTAACGATAATTTTTTCCCAACTGGTCCAGACAATTAGTTGGGCATCCTTTATTAATCTCTTATAGTACTCATGTTGTTGTTCTGGGATTTTTTTCAGTCTTTAGAGTCTACTGTTGCACCAATTATGTCCAAACCAAAACCTAAAGTAGAACCTCCGAAAGAAGAAAAGAAGGAGCAGAACAAAGGAGGAGAGAAGAAAGAAGAAGCTGCCCCCGAGGAACCAAAGTCAGCGAAACAAGAAGCAGACGTCAAGCCGGAAATGGATGTAGATTAGTAATTTGCCAATGCTATGGTATTGTTTGTGATTGGTACTGGCAGTGTGTTGTACTGCAAGCATGCATCAGAAGGACGTTCTAAAGTTGTATGAAAGTGCTGTTCTCTAACTTATTTCAAATCTGATTTGTTTAATTGTGTTTCACAATGTTCACAGTTGTCACTCACAAGTTGTTATGCCAGTGGAGAAAGTTCTCATAGGGCTGTCATTTCGTTAATGGTAATTGATTCAGTACTTAGGGACATCTTTATCATAAAATGTTGTTAGATATATTTGTTCTGCAATTAGATCAATAAACACTAGGGATTGATTAGAAAACAACGTCCACACCTCGCAGTCGAGTAAATCTTAAACAGTTCTCACTTACATTAAAGATGTGTAAAAACATGGAAAAACACCCATCTAGCATCAGATGTACGAATCCATTTGTTGACATGTTGACTTGAAGGTGATGTGATCAAGCAGGTGATGCAGGTGGATTCAGTGTTTGAAACTGACATGTTCGCTAGTCCAAAACTAGTATAATTCTGGAAAGACAAGTGATATTTCCAAGTACACTTTACCATTAAGTAGATGGTGTCTCTAGCAGATAAGTTTTCCGGTCTAACAAAGTGACTGGTGTTTTCTAACCCTGAAGTGCCCTCTTATGATTTGTACTGGCAGTTTGAAGTGAGATCGTTAAGGGATGATTAGCCGTCGTTATCGTCTCCCTCCGTGGATGCTACTGTACTTAGTATTGTATATGTAAGGTTTGTGATGTGTAGGCAGGAATCAAAATGTTAATGATTTATTGATGTGAAAGACTGGTTATCGTTTATCATTCTCATGTTACTGTTTTACTCTGGAAGTATTGTTTGTTTTCTGAAGAATACAAACCTCATGTTGCTCTCCGTCTTGTACAGGGGACATTGGGGACCAGTGGCCTGTGACGTCGTGCTGTGCAGAGTTCTGTCCCTTAACACCTCAGCCAGTCCTCCATTCCCCTATGTATTGTATCAAGCTCCTAGCATGTGGCGCCTTTGTGAGCTCCCAGTAACATCACCATCACCTGTCTGTGTGTGGCCATCACAAGAATCCTACAAATATCCTCTCTAACCCCAAATTTAGCATATTTTTTCGTACGTATGTCTTTTGGATTAGCATATTTTTATGTATGGTATGTCTGTTGGATTGCCATTCTACAGGATTGGGAAAAGTTTTAAATATTTCCAAGATTTGGTTACATTGACCTGCAACTCTGAACCAATCTGACAAATGAAAACGCTCCTATACTGTATCTCTAACATGATAGTTGAAATTCAAATTCTTAAACAAATATGACAATTCAGATGGGGAAAGAGTAGTCATCACTTCTTTGTAAACCTGAGTCAGTTGACAGTGGCGAGTTAGGACTGGTTCCAATGTTCTTGTAGAGAGCTCTGTCAACGTAGGCTGTCACTGCAGGGAGCTTGGTATTGTATGCCCATTTATTTATAATGAATCTATTGGACCCATTAGGAAACACAACATAATTAAAGAGTCGGATTTGAATGAAACAGTACCTAAGTACCTGTTAATCGAATTATGCTGTTGTTGGTGGGAGCTTATGTACCAGTGGTCTTGGTATTGCTCATCCTGGAGTAGACATGCACAGGTTAACATGGGATTGGCCGTGTTCTGCTGGTGGAGAATTCCAATCCAAGGTTCACCTTTGACCTAGGCCTGTCTGTCAGCTCAGTTAAGCTTACAGGTTTTCTTGAAGTTATAGGCATTGAAAAAACTGTCTGTCTGGGCTCTCCGACATGCAGTGATACAGTTGAACTACAGGGTCACTGAACCAACTCCAGTTGTACAGTTCGTGGTTCATCAACATAATCATCTTACTACATACTGGTAAATATATGTATGTCCTTACTGAAATAATTTGACACAGTATGTGTACAATTTTGTTTATGAATACACTGGCCATGGTTGCTCTGAAGCAAGCCATGAATAGACACCATTTATCATTGTGTTAGAACAGTCTCAGTGCCAAGACCTTTACAGCCTATTTGTCAGGGTTCTCCAAACACAGGAACCATAGAAATTATTCCAAGAGACGATGGTAGATGCTGATAAGAGTTATCGAATGGTCCTTCTATATTGCATGATCTTCAAGTGAAGGTAGAAACATTTTGAGTGTTGTAAATGGAAGCCATGGCGTCAAGATGTGGAGAGTCTGGCATGGTCGACAGTCACACTGTGCATACAAATATTCACAATTATATTTATAGATCTTCATACAACTATTGAAACATTTGTTAATCTTATGTTTTCTGACACAAAAGCCTGCTCTTTATCTGAGGGAGCTTTGATAAAGATTTTCATTGTTTGGAGTTTGCTGTTTTAAATTGCCATGTTTAATGATACATTGGTTCACAACTCACAAATTAGTCCATCTTTGAGGAGCATGGATCAAATAAAGGCGTTCTATGTTTTGAGTCACTACATTTGTCCTACCATCGATGTACATTTTAAGATTGTAATAAAATTGTAACTACATGTATTAAATTTATTTTGTCATTTCTGTAAATCCAGTTGCTGTATTAAGCCTTGTGTTGTCTATAAACTCCATACACTGCAGATACATTCACATGTGTCTATAATGGGAACCTGCAAACCAGACTGTTCCACATAGCAGTCTAGGTGCTATGACAGTTGTAAACCATGGTATACGATCATGTTAGCACCTAGACTGCTATGTGAAACAGGATCCAGATGTGCTTCATTATATCAGTTACGTAAGAATTGTGCTACAAGGAATTGCGGATTATCTGTCATGAATGTTGTTGGTTTTGTTAGTTGTGAACAATCAACTTCTTGAAGGATAGATAATATGTCATTTCAATTAGTGAACAAGTTTATTCTGTGTCTAATATTTCCATTTAAGTTATTATTTTTATTTTTGGGGGGGTAAAAGAAGAATTACGTGAGTTTCCCAGTAAGTGGCAGATTCCCTATTTTAATAATACTATCTGCGGGCTCATGCATTATAATGGGGTGATCTTCAGTTACTTTCTGCTAAGTGTTGATATGTTGTGTTGCTATTGACCACTGAAAACGAAGGAAAATATTTTCTTGATCCAATCAGTGAGATGGAGCAGATATTGAATGCTCGGCAAGATTTCACCTATATATACCACTGGTCTATAACTGAAATACTGCCCATGGTAGTGTTAAACTCTGTCACTCCCTGTCCCTATGGGGAATATAAGGGATTGACTGAGCAGGAAGTTTCATGTCTTCCCTGGAAAAGCTGTCCTGGTACATGGGTAGGGTTTTGTGTAGCAGTGAGATGATGCAGAAATATCTCCCTCTAATAATTGGAAATTGTTTCGGTTCCTATCGGTTGATACCAAAGTTAATATCATTTGCAAAAGTACTTAAACCACTATTTATTACACATTCACATCGGTCTGTGTATTTGCAAGTTGTAAATTTTTGGAGTAACCACTAAAATACCAAATCAAATACAAATACGTGCGATAGAGGAAGATTCCCATGTTTGAATGTAAATGTAAGTCAGAGTGTCCAAGTATTGAATTTGTTTCTTGCCAGAATAGACACATCCCATAAATATAACGTCCATCCTTCATCTCAGTCAGTTTCAGTCATTGCAATATTAATACTCTTTGGTCCAGTGAGAATGGCAGGGTATATTATTTGTTTCCCTTCATATAGATTCTGATAACTAAGTGACCCAACCAAGTGTCCGAAGTATGGTCTGTTGTGAAAATGTTTGAAGTAGCCCAGTAAATTGCTGATGGACATGCGAATGTATGTGTATCCGTGCTGCTAGTGTTTGTCTTTCAGAGTAAGTTCCAGTGTCGCAGTAAATGTGTAATTGGTGCATGAAGGATAAGTGACATTTAGTTCTGAGCTGGTACTTTTACTGTTTACTGAAAGGCATCTCTATTGCAAATCACTTTACAAACAGGTGGAAATTAAAATTCCATTTTTCACCCTGATGAACACAAAGAAAACATAGGACGTGGATTTAGTGAAAGTATGATATCCCTCAGATCTAGTCTTGGTGTCCACGAAACTTCCTTGGATTGGTTTAAGAGTTACAATATTCGCAGTAATGTGGAACTTATATCATCAGTCAGTATAATCTTAATCAAACATGTAGCAGATTAAACATGGTTCACCATTTGCTTCCTGGTTTGGGTTTTCCCGTTTATGTAGCAGAATGCATTTGTATCTGCTTGGACACGCAGCCACCACATTGAGGGCATTGGTCACGTAATGCTACCATCGAACAATTTTTCCTTTTATTTTCAAGAGAAATCACTGAAATCAGGTCATCATTTTAACATATACCATTTATAGCACATCATGCGACTTATGTTCCATGCGTCATCCATATATTTGTGTCTGTGATACTCAATTGATAGCTTTTGTAGTACAACTTGACCTTGAAAATAGCTGCTGTAGCTATGGCAACTGATGAAGTTATTCATTCAGCATCTTAAGAGTTGGTATACATTTGTCATATTTTATGTCCAGAACTTTGACACTGCAGTAAATAAAGAAATTGCCATAATTAAGGACTTCTTGGGTTTTTTCATTTTTTACACCTGAGCAAGACAAGTATATGGGACAGTGGAATCATGAGAATAAAAATTTTGTTTGAGGCTGCAGATTTGTCTCAATGTCACATCTTCTGTCTTTAAAAACTGCCTGTTTATAGAGGTTCCACCCACTGAATGGAAGGTCAGTGTCCGTATGCTATAAAAAGGTCGACCGAACATGTTGATAGTCATCATATTCTTTATTCATAAATAACGATATCAGTTGGTAAAGCACAGAAAAACAAACCAGTCTCATCGCAGTTAAAGACATCATCACTAGGCGCACATCCATCAATCAAAGTCGGGAGCTTAATGTCGATGGTAATCCACTGTGTTGTTAATACGCGTTCAGCCAATCAACAGGAGAGCCGAGATACTAGATGCCGGTTTAGAGAGCGTTAATTACTGTACAAATAGTCAATTTGGCAGTCTTTGTTGTGCCGAAATACGGAATAGCCTGAAGCCAGATTAGAGGGTGTGTAAATGATCATAAATTAACTAGCTTCTGCCTGGACCAAATTCTATAGTACTGTCGGAAATAAAAACAACAACCTGTTTTTAGGCTGTAACTCTGTATCCCTAAAATTGACACAATTATAGCATATGTCGAAATAACCCACTTCGGCCTAACTTGGCGTCCAGAAAAGCATGTTTACTCGTAAAATCGGGCAAATATCGGGGAAATATTTCCTTGGCTTGTGGAGTCAACAACAGGAAATAATATGTCTGAAGTGTTTGAGAAACTATTTGTTGAGTTAGACCCATAGAAAGGGATGTCAGTGCATGGATCACACTTTCGCCATATGAGGAGTTCTATGAGAGTCTGTTGGTCTGGGTTCTAATCCGAATTATTATACATCCTACAAACCGTACCCATGCTCATGAGTTCCCCTGCAGTGATAAGGGGCGGTGGGCTAGCCTAAAGTACTGTCGGAAATAGACAAAAAACTGTTTTTAGGCTGTTACTCTGTATCCCTAACATTTACACAATTGCAAATAGCATATGTCGAAATAACCCACTTCGGCCTAACTGGGCGTTCAGTGGGATGCGTAATACGATATCCAGAAAAGCATGTTTACTCGCAAAATCGGGTAAAATACGAATAGCTGCTGAAAACAATAGATCAGACTATAGATGGCAATTAGGTCGCTCAGCCAGGTATGACGACGGACCGTCGACTCACCTGGCATGAAATGCACATGCTGCCTACAGGCACAAGGGGTCATCTCAAAGATATTTTGTTCTTTTTCATGTGTGTTGACTGTCTCATCTACTGATTAACATCTCACGTGTCTGTCTTTCATAAAGTTTATGTTGAGATATGTAAGAGTATGATACCCGAAAACCATAGAAACGCATCATAGTATATAGGTGGCATGACCACCCGAAGATCAACAGGACTGGATATTATTTGTAAATTGTTATGACGTGCCGTGTACCTCCCCAGTATAATTGCCCTAAAGGATTATCTTATCTTAGCTGATATCTCTATCCCCAGGTTTTGCTTTTGAGGCGACCCCTCCTATCTGTTTCTTTTTATAGTGATAGTGAGACTGCATGGTCTGTTTCCATAAAAGTTAATATTTTTACAGCTCTTTATAATGAATCTTAATTTCAAATTGGGCATTCAAAAAGTGTCCTTTGTAATACAATATTGTCGCACACTAATTTGCATAAAGCCATGGTCTGTTCCAAATACGTCTTTTTGGACTTATAAAAAACGCATTGCTCATTTCTGCACTAATTTCCCCTTAGGAAACAGAGAAAAAGGACTTTACTATCTCTCCACCACTGAGAGTGTAGTTAGGCCGAACTTAGTGTAACAGACATTTCACACTTTCACATGTCAACTACATAAATTGTGGAGATAAATGAGACAATACAGTTTTTTCTATTTCCGACAGTACCATAGTGCCGATATTAAGAGCATGCTGGATTAGAGGGCTTCCACTGTATGTTCAGATGGCATCACATCAACGTTTGGATGACCTAAAGCTTTAGATCCCCTCAAACATTCAGTATATTTGAGCTGCAGGTCCATATACACACACTGATGTTTCATATACCCAATCTAGTTTCAGATCCAATTCCTTGTATGCATTTAAACAGGAATCTGATCTGCATGTTCAGCATTCAGGTTTTGGTGAAACATGTTTGGCCAGTCTTGTTACTGCCTCACAGATGCATCAACATGAATGGAACTTCCTAGTGACATAAGATGGTGTGTGTGTGTGTGTGTTGCTTAAAATTGTGGCAAGCATTAATGATGGTATAGTTTCCTTGAATGTGCCATCCCCCTTCCATAGTACAACTGTATAGTCGGGTACAGATCAGAGTGCTTGCAATACAATACCTACATGAAACATTTACAACTCACTGACAACAAAACACAAGCCATATTTTTAAAGTTTTAATTCACCGCAAAGCAAAAACTCAAGAGATGAATAATACCTCCTGTACAGCACAGGTTGTGAGAGAGAGAAGGAGAAGAGATAAAATTACATAGCTGCTTAACCCAACAGTAGTAAAAATAAATACTATAACCTAAACTCCATCTCATTTACAAACCCTATAAGCAGGAGTGCACTATGTACAACAGGTGGGGAAGGGGTATCTTACAGTACGGTGATAACAATAATCTGTGCAAAGATAAAATGAGAAAGCATAAATGGGGTGATAACAATATGATGGATGATGAGAAAAGTAGACCAGATGAAAGATGACGATATCATGTCAGGATAAACTTGCAGAGCTATAATATTGTGAATTCATCATTCATCATTCAAAAAAAAAACACCAATAATTATTCCAGAAAGAAATTCTTTTCCCTCAAGATAAATGTTCCAGGGATATTACCCAGTATGAAAATACATTTCCCTTCTGAGAAAAATGGCCATTATATACAATAATATAGACAATATTAACAGTTCCATGTGTCTGTTCTTGAGATGTATTCACTCAAGTGGCCAGTCCATGGGATATTTTCAAAGGTAAAAGCCTGCACAGCTACTTCAGTTCTTCCGGTATATTGTCAGGTCTTTAAATCCCTTCTGACCTCCAAGCTATTTGCAGGATGAAACTGCTGTATAGTATTGTTCATCAGTTCATGCAGAATTCCTGTGTGGTAGAATCCCTCAATTCCAGGGGGGACACAATATGATCTGGGGGTAGGTTGTTCTCGTATCGGGTCCACATTCGTTCATACAGTTTCTCCAAGTTTCTAGAGTAGGTCTTGGCATTGAACAGGGGACTGGACTCACGTGCTGTCCATACCTTAGCTTTCATTGCACTTAAACTGTAAAGAAACAAAATCAAACTTCAAATGTCTATAACATTGGATTGAAGATGGACTTCTAAAGAATTCTTCTTCTTCATTCTTTGCTTACATTATGGTGCATGTGTTCATAACCATTATCCATAAAAGCGGTGTTCAACTTTTCAACTATCAAAATCAAACCAGACCATTAGCATGACAGTGCACTTATTTTCTGTTAGACAGCTCAAAACAGCATAAAGCCATCTTAACCATCATGACAAGAGGCTTGCGAATTCTTATAACATAATGCCAGTCATAACATATAATATTCTCTCATGAACTTTTATAACCCATATAAATAATTCCACAAAATGATTGATAGTGAATCCTGAGTACTTACTATTCTGCATCTGTACCAAGTCTGGTGGCAATTTGGATGTAATCATCTCTTGTCTTGGCCACTAGCTCAGGACACCCAAGAGTGTGGAGTTGTGACGAGGCAACACGGGAAGCTAGAGTTTCACCTGAACACATAAGAAGTAGGTTAGCCTTATCACACTACCAGATGACCACATGATAGATAAATAGCTGAATGAAAATTTTGTTGGTGAAGGTTCCAATACTCTCACTGTGACATTGCTTGCTTGTATAAGCAGGAAATACTATGGAACTGTTTTCTCTAGGAATTCTAATGGCACAGATTTACCTGTGTCAGTGTACATGCTACTCCTGGGGAGTTTCAATAATAGTTTAACAAGGTCCAAGGTCTAAATATTGCATTTCTTGCCCTGTTAACTATATTTTGAAACTTCCAGACCTAGTGAGTAAAATATGGACTTGTCCTAACATTCTGTTGCCCATAATAACTGACATGCCAATAATTCAATGAACCATGCTGTACTGCAGACCATGTGACTTTAAGTGCATCATAGGACAAAGGTAAGTTCCTCAGTGGTCAATAAACATTGCACTATGTGACAAAAGCATCACAGCTATGTTCTGCCTTGAAATCCCCATAAAGTATTTCTTTGATCTCGTTCTCCCTGTTAAATCCCTATAATTGTTCAAGATGTGTTCACCTGTCATACCTGGGAAGGTTACCATTGGTGTGCCTGCCCAGAGCACATCCATTCCTGTAGTGTGTCCATTGCACAGTGGAGTGTCCACACACACATCGGCAAGCTGGCCTCGACGCACATGTTCTTCCTAAAAAAAAAGACAGCTGGAGTCTGATGTTTGTAGTCACTCTGATCAATATTCCAAATACATAACAGTGGCCTGTGCATAGCTGAGTATGGACAAGACAATTCATATGTTGATGAATAACATCAGTGTTTGCCATGATCACAGCAATGATGACTGCTACATCAAGCCAACCATATTTATGTAGCCAACAAACTGTCACAACGCTGAAAAGCTTGAGGCCATTTGTTCTCAAGGAGATTACACTGCTATTTATTCTGAATTTTTACATTTCAATTTTGGGGAGTCTAAAGAAAACCTTCTGGTCTTAACATGTAATCTAACACATAAATTGAAATCATTTGAATAATTCCTCTCCATGATTCTTGTATTTAGTAACTGAATGTCTATCTGCTAGGTCCCAATCTCACCTTGGGTGCTACGTTGGAAAAGATGATGCGCCCAGATGGCAGTCCCATGTTGGTGGCTGAGAGAATGATGTTGGCCTCTCCAACTGCGGGGAATCTTAACAGCCACAACACACTGTTGGGAACATTCTTGAGGATGTCGACCCACATCTCCAGTGTGGAGGGGTCGATCTTGTACAGCTGGTTGAAATTACAATACACGATGGCCTCTTCAGGAAGGCCGTACTGCTGTCGTGTTGTCAGTATGATGCCATTTGGCACCTCTTCTCCTGTAGCCTCCTTGTTGCTGGTCTGGAAGAAAGCAACATTGCTATGTATTGTGCTGCACTGGCCTATATGATGCAGACATGATAGCATCTGTGATCAAACTAGCTCAAACATAACTGCAATGAACATAACTGCCTGCATTCATAATTTCAGTCCTTGCACAAAAATCAATTTTAGAGAAAGTTAACGCTTAATGTCGGACCTAAATTCTAATTCATAGTCTTAATGTTAAACCCCATAGTCTGCGACAATGTTCTAATAGTGATAAACATTATTTTCCCCTGTCCTCCCTCCTTGCAAAATGAAATCTACTCCAACAAATAAGCTGTTCATCTTGTGTCTAAAACTTACTGATATCTGACAGCTGTCACCAACAAGTATTCAAACGACTTGCAGCTACCTGCTACACACCTGATAATTATCAGGATATATTTCAGTTACTAGTTGTCCTCTTTGCTTACCTGACTTGTTGTGAGTCCATTCATGACGACAATATCCCCCTTCACTACTGTCTGTGGCTGACTTGACTGCATCATGGTGTTGAGTGCGGTAACCACTGTCTTGGGTACTTCCAGGATCGTGGTAGTCATAGACATCAGGCTTCCATCAGGGGCAGTTACAGTCGCTCCAGGCAACACTTGCTGCACTACCTCCTGAAAACACACCAGCCAGCCATTAATGTGGTGCTATCAGGGCTCACTAGTACAAAACAACTTAAGTGCTAAGACAACTGAATTCCTCAACATGCTTGTAAGAATATCATCACTTGGTACAAATATTCACGAAGACAGTTGAGGTGAAACATGGTTTACCACTACATTCAATAGTTAAATGCTGGGCAGGTTGTACTGGAGGACTAAAAGCTGGTTAATTATAGTGTGTTTGCAGTGAAAACGTACTGATGAATTTCACTTTAAACAAAAAAGTAAATCAAACAAGAAGACAAAGTCATCAATATCCCCCGCAGTGGCAAAATACTCTTTATGATTATGTCTACGAGTTATGATTATGTCAAATATTTAGGTGTGTATATAGAAAAGTGGAAGGATAGTATTGAAAGGTTTCTTAAAGTTCTGCTCCAGAAAGGAGCACTATCACCAATTTCAGTCTATGTCAAACTTGTTGCCATGGAAATGCCAAAAATATTTTATTCAGAAATCCAAAACTACCAAAAGGCACCAGTACACCACCAGATCTATGTATGTGCCAAGTTTGGTGAAGAAATAGTGAACGGTTTTAGAGTTCAGCTCCGGAAAAGTGTACTACCACCAATTTCAGGCTTAGTCAAACTTGTTGCCACGTAAACACCAAAAATATTTTATTCAGAATTCCAAAACTACCAAAAGGCACCAGTACACCATCAGATCTATCTATGTGCCAAGTTTGGTGAAGAAATATTGAACGGTTTTAGAGTTCTCCTCCGGAAAAGACAAATGTGCACGGACGAAGCGGACGGATGGACAGAGTCCATTTTAATACCCCCGCAAAACGCGTTGCGGGGGATAATAAAGTGAAATGAAGATTGCCAATCCTCATAATTTTACCTTGCCAACTGAACATTTAAATCTCAGAATTTTATCAACTTAGGAAAAAAGTTATTTAACAAACGATCATATATGTAAATCGCTATTATTGGTTTGTATCATAAGGGTATAAGCGATGTAGTTGGAACAGTGAAACAAATGCACGTGCGGTACGTGATGTGCGTTAACTTAGACCAACCCTACTTGTTCTTGGTGTTTCACTTAATGTGCATACCCCTTTGTAATATAAACCAATAATAGCGATTTGAAACTATGATTGTTTGTTAAACAACTTTTATCCTAGGTTGAATAAAATTCTGAGATTTAAATGCAAGGTAAAATTATGAGGATTCCCAATCTTTATTTCACTTTATTAGAGTTACTTTTTTGTTTAAAGTGAAATTCATTGGTAAGTTTTCACTGCAACAGGCTATAGTGCTAACCCACTCAGATACCAGGCCAAAGTCTTTCCTGGATACTCCTCAGACACCACTATGCTGGCTACCTCTATATCCCCATGTATCAATGGCCAAGCAGGACAACACAGCCATCTTTTAATGTCTTTAGTTATAACATGGCAGGGGACTGAACCATAGCTTTCCACACTCAGGAAACACACTCTAGGACGCAAAGGCAGTCTCAGAGCTTGAAAATGTGTATGACAAGTTGGGTTTATTTCTCTACCTTGTTCACCATTAGTGTCAGGGTATTTTGTTCTCAGCAATTTCTCAGTAGCCACTAAGCCACTGGTGACCCAACAAACTCTCAAATGTGCCAAATTAGGACCTACCCATTTAAGCACTATAGTAATCACCCTACTATCAGGCTGATGTTAATACTCAAAAGTCTCTTACCTTAAAACTTGTAGCAATCTCCTTGGCTTCACTGAGGTCAGTGCCGTTTAAGATGTACTCAAACTTCTTGCCATTCTCATCCGTATATTTGATGACAAACTTCTCCAACATGTGGGGGAACATGTTCATGTGGTCTCCAATAAAGAATGTGTCTCTCGTGTATGCCAGTTTCTCAGAGTACTGCTTGCTCACAGAGACTGGGGAGGTGAGCCTATCAGTGATGACATAGTCCATAAATGATGCACCACTTGTCCCAGGGTAACCCAGCCACATCACCTGGTAAATGATAGAGTTAAGTTTCAGCACGACAGAAAGACTTAAATAATGTCTTGGCAAGTGAGCGAGTAGTTCAGTTTTACACTGCTTTTAGCAATATTCAAGCAATATCACGGCAGGGGACATCAGAAATGGACTTCACACATTCTACCCATGTGGGGAATTGAACCCTGGTTTTCAGCGTGACAAGCAAACGCATTAACCACTAAGCTATATCACCGCCCCAAATAATGTCTTGGACTTATATAATTAAACAGCAAGTTAATACTTCGTAAAAAATATTTAAAAAGTAATGATATCTCTCTGGTCAAACACTCTAATAAAATCCCTGTGAGGCAATGGCCTCTGAAGGTGTCGTATCACATACTGAATCCACATACCTGTACAGGTGCTGGTCTAAGGGCAAAGAGTTCATTGCGAGCACCTTTAGTGTAGCCGTTCATGTTGATGAGTACATGTATTCCATCTGCATGGATTCGATCGGCTGCCTTGCCATTGCAGGGAATCTAAACACAATGAACACATAGCAATTCAGTTAACTCAAATTGATGATCATAGTCTTAAGAGCAAAAACTACCTGCCAAATTCCTCTTGAAGTATATATTTCTGAAGACATTTCTGAATTAAGTTTGTACACATAGCCTGAATTTATAGACAATTATTTTTAATGTCTGAGGATATTCAATTCAATGCTCGTGAACCAGCAACTAGTCAGTCCTACCTGAGACAGATCAATGAAGTGTTCCGCTTCTCTCTCGATCTTTGATCTAAATGTGGTTCCATCATCAGGACTTAGTGAGTAACAAAATACCTGCAATACAATTCAGTCAGAACCAGTTAGAACCACTCAGTCATTTGAAGACAAACTTTCAGGAATACTTTCTTTTTTACTTGAAATAATGTTTCAGGCCTATATCTTGCCCCATTACAAGGTGAACTTTGTTATTTGTGCATACATATCATCTCAATTCTGACAGTGTATCATCTCTTCAAATATTTCATGTTCATTTCTTTCTCAAGAAGTTTGAAACAAGACACGAATTTGTTCATCATATTAATGTCGGCATAGAAAAGCGTAATTAAGTTAATGTACCTGTTTATGGCACAACAAAACCAATCTTTTATTCAGGCACAACAAACCAATCTTTTATTCAGGCACAAGCTTAGCTTGAGAAAAGCTTAGAGTTAGTGAGTTAGTTTAACACCACTTTTAGCAATCTTCCAGCAATATCACAGCAGGGGACACCGGAAATGGACCTAAACAATTGTACCCAAGTGGGGAATCGAACCCTGGTCTTTGTCATGACGAGTGAACGCTGTAACCACTTGGCTACCCCACCACCCCACAAAAGCTTAGAAATACACACACATCTACTATATGAAATACACATCTGCTGAAGCGACTCACCTCAACATTCTGTAGATCATGCATACCGGGAATACTTTGCATCAGATGAGATGTTGGATGGTTGCCGAAGTCTGAGCTAATGTAGCCAATCTTCAGACGACCACCACTTGATAGTTTGTCCTTGGGATGTTGATACGGGGGCTTGTGCAACACGTTAATCTGTGCAGATAAAGACACAAGTCGAACATGACAATCAAGGTTAAGAGGTCCTAGCATCAGAACAAAATCTTCTGTATGTTCATGAATGCAAGAGTACATCTACCATGCATGACAGTCGCAACAGTTCTTATTTTAAGAGACATTTATCCAACACAGAACATGCTGCCATCATCGCTTGTCAAATAGGTTCCTTGTGAATCTAAAAATGATTATTACCATAGTCGTCTGTAATTTGTTTGCCAGGGATCTACTTTAAGCCTTTCATTTGCTATTAGATGGTTTACACAAATTTTTGGCCTAAACTTCAAAGTATGAGGTTGAATTTGGTTGTTTTTTAAAACTTTCAGATTTGTACTGCTACAAATCTGGAAGACAAAAGATGCTAGAATAAAGATTTTATATTTATTCCTCACCACTTTGTAAGAACATCAGTGTTCATATCCTATGTTTTTCATTATACCAAATTGAAAAACTAAGACAACAATCGTCAAAAACTAAGACAACAATCGGCCTCATATATTCTCCCTTTGCTTGACCTTTAAACATCCATGAACACAATAGTCCCTAGTTATTTCAAATGGGCATATGATGTTTTTTAAGACAAAGGTTAAGACGGTAACAAACTGAAAAACTTTACTCTGAAACCAGTTGGAAAAGAAACTTGTTTTGCTAGAGCTGGTTACCTTTTCTAAGCAGAGACTGGCATGTCTGGCTGCGATGGCCTTCCTCATGGAGTGAGAGAGGGGGTAAAGCATACTGTGATGTGGATGGACTGATGGAAGACGGTTCTTCTCAAGCTGATCTTGTACTATCTGAACTAGACGCTTCATTCGACTATTGTAGTCTGTCCAGTCACATACAATCTGGAACAAGCAGAACACAGTAAGCATCTGATAAACACAAAGTGGTACCATTTCTTACCTTTTTAACAACCTTTTAACATTGTAAACAATGTATTTCAAGTTAGAATCTGGCAAAAAGATCTACAGAGATACCATCAATCTAGACATTACTGCTTCAAGAGAAATAATCTGGATTACCTCACTTCCCAATAATGAGTGAGTGAGTTGGGTTTTACACCGCTTTAAGCAATATTCCAGCAATATCACAGCGGGGAGACACCAGAAATGGGCTTCACACATTGTACCCATGTGGGGAATGGAACCTGGGTCTTTGGCGTGACGAGCAAACGCTTTAACCACTAGGCTACCCTACTGTCCCCACTTCCCAATAAACAGGGGTGGTGGGGTAGCCTAATGGTTAAAGCGTTGGCTCATCACGCCGAAGACCCGGGTTCAATCCCCACATGTGTACTATGTAGTGAAGCCATTTCTCATGTCCCCGTGATGTTGCTGGAATATTAGCAAAGCGGCGAAACCAAAAGTCAGTCAGTCCCAATAAACAAGTCACACTGACTGACTGAGTTTGGTTTTACGCTGCTTTTAGCAATATTCCAGCAACATCACGGCGGGGGACACCAGAAATGGGCTTCACACATTGTGCCCATGTGGGGATTCGAACCCGGGTCTTCGGCGTGACGAGCCAACGCTTTAACCATTAGGCTACCCCACCGCCCCTAATAACAAGTCATAGATGTAGTACTGTCCAATATATTGATGTTCAAGGAAAATTGTCCAATGTATGGCATTCAGAATTATGTCTCCATGCACATATTTCTTGGTAATCCATTCAACAGCTATCATGGACAAGTTGCTGAACAATGTCAAGTCTCAACTGTGGCTTGAAATGAGCTATCAATCATTTTAACTGGGTATGTCTTGTAGGATGCAGCACAGAGCAACATTACTGCTTTAACAGAGGATAGAACTCTGTAATCACACATCTCACTTTATAAAGACCGATGATAAGCATGAGGTACAGAGTAAATTCCTGCCAAAGAATCCAAATCCTAAAACTTGGTTCACAAATTATGCATAAAATGTCATGCACTGCTTGTGGTAAGCCTCACGTTATATGTACTAGAATGCTCGAGGGTGCAAATACCATAGAAGACATCAAGATTGGCTACAGGACAGAGCCATGCTGTAACTCATCAATCTGGAAAGTGCTAGAAGCAGTTTTCCAGAGTGCCCATCCCACTTGAATCCAGATTTAAATCATCCTAGTAACACAAACATATAAAAGCTCTGAAGAACAAAGAAGTCGAGTCTTACCTGCAGACAATGAGCAAGATTACAATAGGCATCAGGGAAGTCAGGTTTCAGCTTGAGGGCTGTTCTGTAGGACGCTATGGCTTCTGGGATGTTTCCAGAATCTTTATGGATGGAGGCCAGGTTGCTGTGAGCATCAGCGAAGGCAGGGTTGATTTGTATGGCCCGTGTATAGCACTGCAGAGCACCTTGAATGTCCTGCATCTCCTTCAACGTGTTGCCCATGTTGGGAGTACGCATCCGCAAATGTTGGAGATATCCTGCACACAGAGTTATCCTTCATATAGACATTATCCCCGACTTTAGGTTGACTCTAGCATTTTACAAGTTGCCTCATCATAATAAATGACTAAGTACTCTTTTTTGTAAAACCATAATCAGAATTATTGTTTTGCCTTCAATAACAATTGAGCAGAAACCAGCACTTTTGACATCTGAACTTTCAGAATATCCATATAAAAATAGTTAAGTATTGAGAATGATCTTATTAAGTATTTTTTTTTAAATAAATTGAAAGGCAGTTTAAAGACGCTATACAGTCTACTGCATATATATATAATCAGTCACAATCAGACATTCAGGTTTCCCTACCTAATTGCTTCTTTATAATGCATGAGTGCTTCATGGAGTTTTCCTTGTTGCTGTAAAACACTAGCCAGGTTTGAATGGGCTACGGCAAATTCTGGATAGACCTGTAAACGAACAGAACCATTCATATAGCAATGTGTATATGAGCATGTGTCTGTTTGTACACACTATAGCCAGTTCTGTACTAGCATACTGAGATACTTACCCAGACTCCCTTAAAGCTTAACATAAGACAGGGTAACAGTAAGTACCATCTTGTAATGTCTCTGGTGTAACTTGGCATTCCACTCTAGACAGATCAATGTTCCATCAACAGAACCACAGAGACATTCACTGGAGACATTCACCAAGAAACACAACATGGGCAAATTGTCGTAGACAATGGGCAGAGGACAAGTTCACGCACAGCCACCCCAACATGTTTGGCACACACTTTTTCTACCCCCATAGGAAACTGAACATGATTGCATATTATAATACAGTACCTGTCAGCAGATTAAAATGTTTGAACAATGACGAAACTTACCTCCAACGCCTTTAGGTAGAGCTTGACAGCCTCCTCTGTGTTGCCCTGCTCCCTCTTGATGTTGGCGAGATTGTTGAGAGAGTCTGCATGAGTGGGACATAGTTGCAATGCTGTGTTGTAGCACTCCTCAGCCTCCTTCACCTGCAGCAATGGGGACGGAGTTATTTACAGCAAAGCACATATTGGGATCATTAAGGCTTGAAGAAGGACTCTATGTTTTCAACATTTCAGGTTTAGACTATTATTAATGTTATGTGTGAGACTAAGTTGTCTTGACGTCATTAGAGCAAATGTAACAGTCTAATTTCTGTGCTCCTCTTCCACTGTTTCATGACTTAAACTAAAAGAACTTGCAGTAACTTCTTTAAGTTATCAAAACCTAATTAACTACAGACATTCAAAACCATTTTGAAAGGTTTGTTACTATAGTATTTAAATGCTGGGGCTCCCAATCACTTTCAGGAAAAGAACGTCTCGACATTCATTCCTCATTTTGAAAGAAAATACATGTGATCAGGGAAAGCTCCACCAATTCAAGGAATGCTTACCTGACCCTTTTCCTTCAGAGCATTGGCAAGATTACAATAGGCATCAGGGAAGTTAGGCTGCAGTTCTATTGCCCTCTTGTATGTGTCAATCGCCAGATCAATGAGTCTGAAAACACAGCATAACGTCAACAAAAGTTGAACAGGACAACAGTTGAAAGAGGCAAACCATATCAGGAACAGAAGCCTACTTGTCATTATCAACTATTGATGCCACTAATGTAGTACACTTCTAATCATTTACTTGTTGTATCAGCAATATAAGTGAGTGAGTTTAGTTTTATGCCAGTCAGCAACATTCCAGCTATATGGCAGCAGTCTGTAAATAATTGAGTCTGGACCAGACAATCCAGTGATCAACAGCATGAGCATCGATCTGCGCAATTGGGAACCGATGACATGTGTCAACCGAGTCAGCGATCCTGTTAGTCGCCTCTTACGACAAGCATAGTCACCTTTTGTGGCAAGCACAGGTTGCTGAAGACCTATTCTACCCCGGATCTTCACGGGTCTCGGCAATATCATCTGGTTGAAACTACTTTTAGCTATCTGTAGTTCAATGTTCAAAGTCACTCTTTCTAGCTGCACCAATAGATATAGCATATAGATATTGAACAAAAAGGGTTAGGAAACATGAATATTTTTTTGCAGTTAAGGCCAGACACGGCACCTTAAATTGACATTTTTGCTTCAATATGTCAAAATCGAGATTTTGATTTTTTTCGTATAATTAACACATGTACTTCACGATACAACACGTTGTTTTCGATAAAGAGTCTTTTTAATTGATATAAACCCCTACAAACATAATTGTATATGTGATAATATATAAAAATGTGTGAAATCAAACCCTGAAAACGCCAAACTTTCACCCCTAACAATGCCCTCCCAGCAGGGATGAACCCATTCATGTTATACATCGCTAGAAAGCTCATCGTGTCCGCCATGTTGCTGGTCAAAAACATTTTAAAAATAGATATTCCACATGAGGATATCTCTACTTTCCCACGATACGTATTCTGTATGAAAACATCCTTGTAAGGCGAAATATCCCAAAATTCAACATTCGGCAAGGCGAAATATCCCACAATGCAACATTTGGTAATCTTCGTTACATCCTTATATGGTAAACGTATCCCACAATGCACCATTTGGCATATCAACAAAACATTGTCCTTTCCCGGTAGGCATTCAAAATGGTGGCTGTTCACCGAAAACATCGAACGATAAACATTGTATTTGACATATTCTTGACTAACAGTTGTTGTATTCTATAAAAATGAGAAGAACAAACTCAAAGCACACCTACATTAAGAATAAGAGGCGCAGTTGCGACAGGCATGCTTAAAATGCAATGTCAAAGATCCACCAAGTTTTGACAAGTTTTGACAGCTCGATCAAGCATGTGTTTAGATTCTGACAGCTTCTACACTGTCGATGCATCGGAAACATCTGGGGACTATGCCTTTGAGGAAAACATTCCCAATGGAGCCAATGAAGGTAAGAAATAGTTTTTATTGAATGGAGATTCACGCATAGAACTTTCAAATTTAAATTATTTGAAAACCTCTGATCTCATTTCCTTGTCAATGACAAAACTAAACCTCAATGGATGCGAAGGGATCGAGTTTGTGAGTGGTTGTTGTATGGTGTAGGGGAGCTTTTTTGTCTTTTTTCTTTGTATATGAATCGTTCCATGTATTTGGAATACCTCCCTTAAGTAAACTGAGACTTTGAATGTGTTTATCTCGTGCTAAAGTAGGAAAAAACATGACCTAATTTATTTCCTTATTTTCTCCATATACGTCATTTTCGATCTTAGTGAACATAGTTCTCAGTTGTTACTGGCCAGATTTCAATGACATTTTGTGTACATATAGCCAATTGATTACTTTATGCAATAACAGAGAGACCTTTTTAATCTTGTTGCCCGTTTTTTTTTAAAAATAAAGTATGAGTGAAAATCAAGCCCCCCAAAAGTGATTTTTTAAAACAAAATTTTAAATAAAAAAGTCTTTTTAAAAAAATATCTCTCTGTCATTGCACCCTACACACCCCAAGGTATGTTGTAAAGTTGAAATTATATAGATATCTTTATTAGTTTTAGAGAAAAACTTTCACTAAATTTCATCTTTTTTCAGGCTTGTGTCGTCCATCTTGGATGTTTCCATGGCAACCGGTGGCAACATCACCGGGAAAAGACTCATCAATTGTTAAAATGTATACCTCTAAGTTGAAACTAAATAAACCTACCAAATACTTGTTAAGCATTTTGTCATATGTGAGGTGCAGTGTCTGGCCTTAAGATTAATAAAGGTACAGTCCAACCTTTCCATCATTTTTAACTTTTTTCAGTTCAGTACATAATTATACATACCCTTGTTCATAGTAAACACAAGCCAGGTTACCATGTACAACTGCATGGTTTGGACTGAGATTCAAAGCTCGGAGATACGCAGCAACAGCTCTGAAATATAAATCAATACAGCATTCTTACTCCGAACTTTAAGGATTCTCCTTCTTGCTGCAACATTTCTTTTCACAAAGCACCAAATGAAATATCAACACTGGACTGAGTCAAGCATACATACCAATGATATCTACAAACCTATAAAAAGTTGCAAATTTATGGCCAATAACTAACTTTCCTGTCATTAATATAGCCTTAGGTCATCTCATAGCATAGTTACAATTTACAAGTGCTTTCCCTGAAAATGATACAAGTAAAAAGTAGATTTTCAGTTTATTTTCAGTTTACCTGTCAAATATTCTTGCTTCTTTCAATACATTTCCCAGATTAATATAGGCATCCAGGAAATTAGGGTCCAATGCAACAGCCTGAAAGTGAGAGAATGTTGTAAGCGTGTGCCTTCCATGCAGAACTTACAAAGCAGCAAAGAAAAGATTACTATCTTACAACAATACACTTATTTGTCTCTCATTCAGATTCCTGTAATAAACTTGCCACATTCGCATGTGTATTTAAAATGTGAAGATTTTGTAAACTTTCACTCATCCAATACTACCTCTGTAACTATATTTTGTGGGGGTAGAAGATCTGAACAACAAAACAAAAACTATATGTCTTGTCAAGTATGACCAGATACTTGTCTCTCGAAATGTGGGTCTGCCACTCACATGGCACAGCTTAATTCAAGTATCATGAGATGCTTGTATGCTAGAAATAAAATGCACTATTACACTAACAACGGATAGTAACTGCAAACTTTACATTTAACAGAAACATTTTTCACAATTACCTTCTCAAAATGATGAATAGCAAGCCAGATTTCGCCCTGAGCGTTGAACACACATCCTAGGTTGCTCCATGCCACGGCAAAGTTTGGACATGTCTCGATAGCTTTTAAATAGCAGGCCTGTAGGGGGCGTGAACAAAGAGGGAGGGACAAAAGAAAAAAATGCTTTTAGTAAAGGGTCAAAAACGAGGTGTACGCAAGCTCTGCCTCTCTCGCTGAATGCGACTGCCCTAGTGCGAACCGCAAGCGCATGACACTAGATGGGCTGAAGGTTTGGCTACAACATGTATCGATGGCACGACAACCCTCAACTCACTAGGTCCAAACTTCATCTTCTGAAATCCTTTTGGAAACCACACATATAATCATGGTTGCTGAAGTTTCAAAGCTGAAATGAAGCATTAAGGACATTGGGATGAAAACTGAACAATGTTAGGGAAACACGCTGTAAGGTTTGTAACACCTTTGCCCAATGGATTAAAGAAAATGAAGCAATCGCGCGACCGCCTGCGCAAAATAAAACGCGCGCCCTTCAATCGCAAACGCAGAACAATTGGAGTTGTTCCTACAAAAAGATCTTTTCTCACAGTTGGGATTAGAGCAAAAAAAAAAGAAATCCAAAGACAGTCAGAACTGGGAAGTCTATAGCTTTTATGTGGACGATTTATTTGGCACAGACAGCCAAGTGGAAAAGAAAGAAAAAGTCAATTTTGGCTGTTTTTTGTTTGAAGATAACAGACTACATCCATTGTTGTTGATACAATACCTGCCAAACTATGGTGGCAACAGTACAAGTATTCATACCGGTTCGGATAACACTTCCGCCTCGATGAGTGGGTGGGATTGGGCTCCGTTGATTCGATGCTCATTTACCTCACCCCATAATCAAAGCACACTCTCTCTTGCCTAAATGCTAGTGCAGAAATAGTAAAAGATTGGAGATTAATATTGAAATTCAAATTGCAGAACAAACATCAAAATCAATAATGGCACAATCTTGTTCAGGCATCTCATTACTGATGCCAGAACTACTCGACATCAAATACAGTTACCAAGGTTACAGACATGTGTTTTGGGGAACCAAAGCTTTCCCAACGTCATCTTTATACAAATTATTCTCTCCAAGATAGAAGGCATCAAGTTTTCTTTCCAGCATACTATGAACAATTACCCCACAAAAAGCACAACGCAGAGATATAATACTTCACTTATATTTTTTTCTTCTTTCAAACAGTTGACTGAGAATGATCTAACAAATCAGTGACACAAACACCTCAATATTTCAGTTTACTTCTTAACACAAAGCAGTTTTAACACAGTACAAATATTTATTTTTTGGGTTGAACTTACTCCAGATGAATGTTAGATCATTTCCAATATATTATGATACCTTCTATCCCATGCGGAGGCATAGTTGAAAAAAATCTGCAAATGACCAGTATGAATCGAAAAATGGAGAAGATAAACAGAATACCCAATCATAGCAAATCTCATCCTTGGTGTACGAAATATAAGTCAACAATGTGAGATCTCATGTCACACTGCAATGAGATATCAGTCAACATTTTCATATCTGTTATGACATCAGATGAAGTATCCTGACCAAAATGAACTAATGTTCAATCAGAAAAGCACTGGTCAGATCTAGCATATCAAACGGTATTGGTTCAAACAGAAATTTTACTTGCTATTACCGCAAATAATATTTTCGTTTAGATATAACATAGATAGATGATTCAAGAACAAAAACACTGAGGAATCAGTAAAAGAGTTGTAAATTTAGGCTTTCTGGTTGCCTCAAAATCAGTAGGATTCTGGTGTGGGTCTTGACCCAACAATCAATCTCATCATGTCAACCTCATTACATCACATATTACATCGGTGTTATTATCAAGACAATGGCAAAATATCACCAATGATGTTATTCACTATGATTGATATTTCTTCATGCGCTGCCAGCGTCTTGGGTTCAGACGAATAAACAAAGCATTTGGAGAGACAGTCTGCTTCACGACAAAAGTAGACCAAATATTTTGATTGGAATGACTTAAATTCTACCAATGTTCGGCTGGCCCCAGTGTTGCTCCCTGCTTCAGCTTCGAGTGACAGGGCCTCCATCTCTTCTCATTGAGAGACTACACATTCCAGCCATGTCATTCTTAGCTCAAAACCTAGACATAGCAGATTTCTCAGTAACCCTGCACCAGGATAACATTGTTCAAACATACACCAAACCCCAAACATTTCACCACCAAATGATGAAATCTCAAGTGTCTAAATGCAGAGTTTCTTTTCTCATACAGACACGAAAACCCAAAGATTTTTTAAGCATCTGAATTCAACATTTATTTTCACAGTGGAAGGACAAAAATCAATATCCCCCTTTTACAAAATGCTCAAAATCTGCTATTCTCCATAGAGTAGATTTGAATATTTGCATAAGCAACAAGATCAAATTTACAATAAAAAGAAATGTATTCTGTATCGATGTTTCGAACATTCAAATTCACTCTATGGGTGAGGAAACAACCCTGGGCAACTGAAATACACATAAGCAGCAGTACAAACAAATATATTTCCCAAATGTGGTCGTATTTGTCGGACAGAAACAACTGTCTATCCAGTCCTGTGAACAACTGCACAATAGCTATTAGCAAAATCTTATGGGAATGCTTTGGTTGCAACATAATATTCTAACATGGATATGTCACATATGTATAGAATAGTGTCGCTTGAGGTAGGTTTAAGACCTAGCTATGGTGCAGGATGAGCTGGCACACAAGCTGGGTAGACATACCTTGGCCTCATCCAGCCTTCCAAGAGCTTTTAGGAGGTTACCAAGATCACTTCTCACACAATACAGGTCCTAGAAAATCAAGGAAAGTTCAGCATTAATTCAGTCGCTGACATGTCCAACCAAAGGACTACCAACTAACATGCATTATTTAAAGTTACAGTAAAGCATGTGAAAGAGCATACATCTTTCTGGCTGTTACAGACAACACTACCACCACTTTCAGTGAAGAATGTGCACAGTCTGATGTTACTGGCTGTGTGCTCAAACTATCTGTGAGTGAGTGAGCAATATCACGGCAGGGGACACCACAAATGAGCTTCACACATTCTGCTCATGTGGGGAATCGAACCCGGGTCTTCGGCGTGACGAGCGAACGCTTTAACCACTAGGCTACCCCACCGCCCCTCAAACTATCTGTAGTTAAGTTAGTCCATATATGAAAATAATTTGGATCAAACAATTTTTATCATCGGAAGGCCCATGGCAATCTTTAGTGAATGTTCCTCTCTTTGCAGTCCTCCCTTGTAAGAAATAGTGAACTGTGTCAAAATTTTAATGATAATTTGTTAACCAACTTTTTTTTTTAGGACATAAATTCTGCAAAAGAATCACAGAGTTGGTCTGATGTTGATTATGATGAGTGTTTCATTGAGTATTATATGTTTAGTAGTTTTCGAGATTTTGAGCCAAACAGACTATAACAAGAACAAGTGTTTGCCACTAATATGGCAATGTCCCCCGTTGCTAAAGAAGAATGAAATATTTATAACATATTTACTACTTTTTGGGGGGTCACATACAAGAAATGACTGGTGTCTGCATAATCACCCAATGTAGGCTGGCAACATAATTAAAGACGTTGGGTGCAATGTTTTATGAGATATCGCGTTTACATAACAGAGCTACAGATAACTTTTTGGGTCATTGAGTTATGTACTCACTTGTGCTCAGCTCAATTGGGTATCCCATTTTTGCTTTGAGTAACCAAATAAATTGTACCCACCTCACTCAAACTCAATTGGGTATTATGCCATTTTCCATTAAATTTGAAAATATAGTGATGTTTAAAAGTTAATGTTTGTTGTTTATATTTGATCTGTAATATCAGAAACGATAAGAAAGACTGCAAGTTGTCAAGTTCATGTCCTGAAATAGAACCTCTCAGTATACTTCAGTTATTTTATCTATCCACCGGTACGCAAGCTAAGACTTGACATTTTTGTGTGTACGCATGTAAGATCACATTTATTGAGTATTTACAAAAGTTCAAGCGTACTTGTACGCAACAGACTGAATAGAAATTGAGTTTTCACAAAAATATTTGCGTAATTTACGCAGATACGCAGCTTATCTGTACCTCTGACATAAGTTTGAAAAGTGGTCAAACTGTCGTAGTGACCTTGAAGATAAGGTCAAGGTCACCAAAACCGACTGGTGTCTGCGTAATCTCCCAATGTAGGCTGTCACCAAACCTGAAGACATTGGGTACAACAGTTCATGACATATCACGCTAACAAGAATTGGGACGTACGTACGCAGCTGAATACAGTCCCCCATTCTCTGTTGAAGGGGGGGAACAAAAAAAGTGACTTACACTGCACACATGACAACTAATTTAAACATTTTGAAGAACAAAACACAATCATTCTTTCTGCCTAAATGAAAGCAGGTTTTTCAACCTGTGTGGTGGTGAGTAGGCACTTACTGGGTTATACTGTAACGCAGTCACATATGCTTGCACCGCCTGTTCCATGTCCCCTGCTGCCACCAAGGCTGCTGCTAAGTTGATATATCCATCAATAAAGTCAGGTTTTAACCTCACAGCATGTCTGTAATTATCTAGTGCTTCCTGCAATTGTCCCCTTTCCTTATATACATTGCCTAGATTTGAGTATGCCTCTGCTAGCATGGGATTCTGTTTAATGGCAAGTTGGCTGAAGTATGCAGACCTGGAACAAATAAAGTTTTCATCAGTAATTAATTCAAAAATAACATCAAACCATGATAAGTATCTCAATAAAATTACCATAGACAACATCAAACACTCTAAAGCCTACCTTGTATCTGAATCAAGGAACTACTTTCAGTAGATTTTAGTCTTACATACAGACTAGTAAAATCTGATCTTTACAGAGCTGAATACATGTTACTGGACTACACATCATTCTCGAAACTCAAACTCTAAGCTCAAAGTGCAAGTAGCATTTTCTTCCAATAAGAGAAGAGATAGAGGGACCAACAGACAATCACCCGTAACCTTCATGTGTTATTTGAAATTCTGTCACCATAACTGAGTCAATACCACACTCCATTGATCGGAATTAAGCACAGCCTTTGGGACCTTCCTATTGTTTCTGTCCAGGGAGACCCCAAATTAAGTCGCTGGTAACATGAGGACCCCCAGACATCAATGCTTAATTTCTAGCTTTGTATCTAAAATTATTCCTCCCACCAAAGGAAGCCATGGACATACAGCAAAATGTCATGCGGGTATCTTTCTTAGTTGGTGTCCCACAGCTGGATAATCAATACGACATGTATACATAATGTGAGCAAACACTCAATGCAAACACCAAATAACATTGTTTTACCTGGAATATATTCTGTATGAAAAAGCATTTTGAATTGGTATACATACACAGAATTCAAAGCCAGACATACTGAAAAATATCATTCAATTTGCTACATGTGATATGTCACTTACTTCTAATGTAAATGGACATGTATGATCCAGAGTGCACATACTCAGTTTCTTGATATAATTTTCTTTTATTCTTGTGATTTTCTTTCATTCTCACAGATACATCCTGGATTCATTCTTAAAATCTTGCATCTTTACCATGTTTACAGTTTCAGATTGACGACTGTTTGCGATGGCATTTTCAAACTTTAGAAAACTTGATTGGCTGGCATGCATGGACGCTGCCAGCTTTGAACGAAAAAGTAATTAAGACATGCAATTCTCCCACTAGGACTGCGTCATGCCTCTACTGCAGCATACTTCAGTGCAATTCACAGTCATTTCTTTATCTGGAACAAGTTTGTTTACCTATAAACTGTCTGGTCACTAACATGTGGTGAGTTATTCCCAAGCCACTGCCTGGCTTGACACAAGGTAGTATCATGTAAGTATAGACAAAACATCAGCAAACAGAAGATATGCTGTTTCATGTACAGAGAGAAGACAAGCTCAAACAGGAAGAGCTAGGCTGTGATTTTAATGAGTGAGCACTGACCTATCAAGCCTCCTGCACTGGAAGTGGATAGAACTGAGAAGCAAAAGAACCCCTGTGTTGTCGGGTTCTTGCCGCCATAACTGCATACAGTGCTGTTCAGCATGCTCATAGTCTGCTGCCTGGTACTCTCGATGAGCAAGCTCTGCTAGACCTGCAACACAACACTATGTGTAGAGACAGCAACAGGTAAATAAAGAACTCATTCATCAAGATCAATCAGGCCTGCTTGTGCCTCGTTACACAATGTAATGTATTAACAAAAGACTGAATATTCATACCATTTGCTCAGTGCATTCAATAAATCAAGAATGCAATTCTAATAATATACTGTCAAAAGACTGGCAAGATTTTTACAGCTTTTTAAACACAAGACATTATTTCAAAGAGGGATCAAAATATATGTCAAAAGCAAGTAATAGAAAATGTGACAATTAAAAAAATACATCATGGTGTTGGTTTTGCACCTTTGTTTTGCTTCCATAACAAGTGCTCAACCTACAAAGGTACACGACATGTTAAGACTCCTGCAACTGAAGCAGCCTTGAATTTGCTCTTAGGTCCTTCCAATTTCTAAACCATAAACTGTGATGAGACAACAGGTAAGAGGAAAAATTGGTTCATGCTACTACTTACTACCAGAGGTACAGATAAGCTGCGATTAAGGACTCCAAATGCAAAACTCAATTCCTATTAAGTCTATTAGCAGCCTTGAATTTGTAAATACTCAATAGATGTGATGTTACATGCATTCCAAAAGTGTCAAATCTTAGCTTGCGTAACCAATAACTGAGGTATTGAGAGGTTCTATTTCAGGACATGAACTTGGCAACTTGCAGTCTCTCTTATTGTTTCTCATATTACAGATCAAATATAAATAACAAACACTAACATTTAAACTTTATTATATTTTAACAATTAATGGAAAATGACAAAATACCCAATTGAGTTTGAGTGAGGTTGGTACAATTTATTTGGTTATTCAATGGAAAATTAGGATACCCAATTGACATGACCACAAGCGAGTACATAACTCAATGACCCAAAACGTTATCTGTAGCTCTGTACTACCATGAGATTTTGCTGTGGACAGACTGTCATCCAGAGTTCTTAGTTATCAATATTCAAGGTGTACACATTGTGCTTTATACAATGACTTGAAAGATGTTTAACATGGTTCATAGAACCTTTCAAGTAAAAGTAACATGAATTGGTACTTTCAAAAATATTTATTGGGACATTCTGTCAAATCCTCCAACAAAGCTAACTATTCATGCCATCATGGTCAAACTGGCAACAGCGAAGAACAATTTTGGAAATAACATGTTACTCATGTAGAGCACCAAAGCTTGCCACACAATCCAAAACATTTAATTGCCCCTTTGGTATAATACAAGTAACAGATGTAAAACACCACATACCTCTTCCTGCAGACATTGACAATCTGAAAAAGTGCGCCCGGTAAAGTGCAGTACTCCCATTAGGTCTTCAACCCTTTTAACCATGTTACTTACATTTAGATTTCCTTTGGAAACCCTTCCAGTTCTATGAAACTGTACTTCATTATGTACAAACAAGGCACTGACAACATCATTATGACTAAACACTGTCACATTAATTCTACTCACTGACTCGATGATTGCATCATTTGCGTCTTTTTATTTGTTTCTAGACAAACTACGGTCCCAACGTATTCACACAGGTCCCAAACTTATTTGGTGAGACGCTAAAACGTCACGAAGTGAGAATTGTTCAATTATGGCGATGAGATATAAGACGGCTAAATGCAAGCCACTGTCAACAAACAAACGGGAAAGTGGATACACTGTTTATCATATTTACACGCAATTCGAAAATAATGTAAAAACATAACACTTACCCTTAGTAAGTGAGGTATGCTATTTGGAGTATCTATGTCAAACTTGTGAACAATTTCCTGCACAGGAGACATTTGTCCTAATATTCTGCTAAAACATTGAATATTTCAAGTGATAACTTCAAAATATACTTACTTACACATATAATGAATGCTAGAATCCATAATACATTTGTCTTACACAACAAATCAGGCAGATAAATTACCTGTAGAGTCCGCAATATGAGCCATTTCTTTGTGGTTCACACTCCAAGATGGCGGTTCCTTCATCTACAACGTAGTGTGATTACCAACACGCGGAGAATAATGTACCGGATACTACGTTCTGGAGCCGAAACTCTTTCTATCAGGAAACCGCACTTTCATATGTAGACACCAAAGCAGCGATATTCGTTGATCCAATATTTGACTTGTAATAATGGTTTTTCTTCGAGGAAAAGTGCCGCTGTTGTCCGACCGTTCACCCTTTCTGCTTCCTCTACAGTCTTTACAGGGAGCCCTGATCTAGCTTTGTTAATATCGAGCCACTGTTATGCCCTGCTGTAAGGTGTTAGTACTAGGTTCAAGTGCATGATACTCCACATATTACAATAACATCTACATATGTCCTTTAGTGAAAATTTTTGCACTAATTTGGCGTATGACCATTGAAAAGCATTGAATCGATTAACTATTCAAATTGAAAATACAGAGTCCATGGCCTCGTCGCAATGTTTTACATTCCTGACGTCATCAACATGCTGCCACTTCATGGAAAGTTAACTGCGCATGCCCATTTGTATATGGTAGGGGGCGTATAGACACTACTCGTTGTCATCCTCGATATTTTTAATTTCGTGGTTAAAATTTACGATCTTTCATTTAACATATCCTTTTGATAAAGGCATACGATTTTTGGATTTATAATTAAAGTTTCAAATTTAACTTTCGCAACATCCTTCTTAATTACATGTAAAATTACACGATGGGAGATTCTTTACAGTTCCTTAAACTTTCTTGGTATTTACGCTAGACTCCAAACATTAATTAACCTTCCAATTAGAAAGAAATATATTTCTAGATCATTCGTAAAATTACAAAATATTAATCAATAATCTTATTGAATCTACCCGGTTATGCATGAAATATGTATTTTATTGTTCAAATGAGCACATGTTAAACAAACATACATATATATATATATATATATACATAATGTAAACAATAATGTTTTGAGATGACCCCTCTCGTGTGGTGTATGAATATTCAACGAATCGATATGTGGATATTTTGATAGGTCGAGATCACAGTCACGTTGCAGCTTACGTTTGTTCGGCATGCCAAATTGGGAAATAGCTCAGCATGAAACAGGGAAGCATGACTATTTATAATTTGTGCTTTGTGCACAAACATAACTTGTCAGTTTATGCAGTTAAATACTTAGATAAGCAATGTAAGTCGACAGAACCCAAAAGTACATATTGTCTAGCAATAAGGCATTGTGTTGTCTTGGTTACGTAATCCCCTCGATCGATTTGTGCAACCTCCTGTCTCGAAGTGTTCACAAACCGAAACATCAATATTATTATGCCTGCAGCGGTTGAGTTTCTACACATGCACCACTTGTTTTATGTCAGTTTACTAATCTAATAATCACATAGTTTAGTTTATTTTTTTGCTGAAAGCAGCGATGACTTTTCTAGGATGTTTCAGATCGGAGTTGGTCGTCAACAATTTACCCATGCTTGTCGTAAGAGGCGTCTTTTGGTATTGGCTGGTCAGGCTCGCTGACTTTATTGATGCATATCGTTATGTCCCAGCTGACGCCAGTCACTGGATTGTCTGGTCCAGACTCAGTTTCTTCCTGACCGCCGTCATATAGCCATATATGTACTATTGCTAAATGCGGAGGTAAGCAACAAACGGTCAAAACGGAACTTATAAATAGCTGAATTGTTATAAAAAAATAAATATAATTAGACTCATAAATCTTTCATGTTGTTTTGTGGGTTGTTGTTTTTTGTTTGTTTCTTTGTTTTGGTTTTGCTTCGGTAAGCATATAGGACTGGTTGGATTAGAACAAAATGTTATGCAGAGTTTGGAAAATATTTAATAGCCTTACAACAGCCAGGAAAACAAGTTGTGATTTATGTCATCATAAACGTGTGCAACTGACTCTGAAGTCTGTACTTTATCAACATGTTTTGAAGGAAATTCTCGCGGTGGACGACAATGGAAATGGGAGATAACCCATATCATACTAATGAACGAGAAGTGCTGACAACAGTATTTGTACCTCGTTTTTTCGTTATCTCAAGCCTCTTGTCCAAGCATAACGCTTTGCGTAACATCCCTTGAAGCATTTGAAAGGTAACTGTTGCTAGGAACTGAGTAGGTAATTATGCCATTCACGAAAACACAAACACAACAACAGAGATTAAACGAACCGTACGTACAATCCCATGTTTGCGATCCCTAATAGGTGTCATGTCGAGCAGGAGAACGACAGGGTATTGCGCTGATTTATACTACACATAAAAACAACAACAACAGCTATTGATATGTTGTAAGCTTATTGAAAAGTAAACCGGGTTTGGCGAAAGTTCGAAATAAATATTCACATAGGAATGGAACGCAATGTTACATTTTAGCATAAATTCCAAGCAAGGTGCTCTCCACAAACTTAACGAACATCAACTGCTATGCGCGTCTATTATAGCCGTAGTGCGGAATTACATCATTTATTGATGTAAAATCGCTATGAGTGAGTGAATGTGATTATACGTTGTCTTTTGTAATAGGGGCGGTGGGGTAGCCTAGTGGTTAAAGCGTTGGCTCGTCACGCCAAAGACCCGGGTTCGATTCCCCACATGGGCAAAATGTGTGAAGCCCATTTCTGGTGTCCCCCGCCGTGATATTGCTGGAATAATGCTAAAAGCGGCGTAAAACTAAAGTCACTCAGTCAGTCAGTCTTTTGTAATATCAGCCAGGGGTATCAGGAATGGGTTTCATTCATTGTACCCCTGGGGGAATTGAACTCGGGCCTTAGGCGGGTCAAGCGAACGGTTTAATCAGTTGACTACTCCACTGCTCCAGGCTATCTCCGACGCTTGTAGCTATTGGTTAAATCGCCATATAATGTCTGTCTAATCCCTTGCGATCTTGGCATCTCTCAATATTGACTTTACAGTAACACAGCGACACACGGTCAACTGGACCCACCAACTTACTGGCCTCTTATGTTAAAATAAAAGCCAGGGAGGAATACATAACACAGAACAAGACAAACGCTCGTAAAATCAGCGACACGAGCGTCGAATGTCAAGGCAAGAACAGTTAAATGTGTCTGTACATATAGAGAATCGTGGGGCATTCGCCAGTTCTGCTGTTACACTGTTACCATAGTTCTGTAGGATTCACACAAATGAAAGTATACTTTTTGTTTGATGGTGGCTAAAATGAAACAAAGAAGTTACGGTTATGGGATGGTGACGTATATATTTGATAACATATTTCAATGAAAGTCACAAATTAATCATTTTCCATCAGTCGCTTACACTATTATTTAGTAGTGTTGTTTGGCTTCAAGATTTTGTTGACCTGCTCATGTTGATGCTACTCAATAAAGATGCTTAAAGTTGACGCTTGAGATAGCGTAGTCTGACCTGGCGTGGCGTGACATCACGTGAGGAAAATAACGGATATACATGTAGTTTATTTAAAGTGTTCATTCACCTGTTAAAAAATGATATCCAGCAACAAAGCTTGCTAGCCACTGAAGTCTCACCAGTAAATCAAAATATATTATCTAAACATTAATATTTCACATACACAAGATTCACCTTTTAAACTTCTTAGAAAAAGCTCATGTTAAGAATTCAACAAAATTTGAATTAAGTCATTAATGTTTGTAATAAAATGGGTTTGTTTTACAATTTTACATTTTTTGTTGTCAAAAGTAGAATTGAATTTGTTGAACAAATCAAATTTACGATCTTTGTAAAAACAGATCTAAGCAAATATTGTTCAGTTCATTATCACAGAATGTGCAAATTCTAAAATGATCAAGTGCAGGAGTGATGTTTGCTGTCCCGCCAGTTTCTATATGTGCAGTGGGAGGATCGGCAACGAAAGTGTCCTCATTTGTCGAGATACAATAGTTCTTATATATGTTTCTACTTGCATGTCTTGTTTAGAAAATGCGCCTGACCTCATATTACATTTTATCATTCCAAAATGCTGTAAATGAACCTTCTTCTCTTCGTCAACCTTTTAAAATATTATTGTCCACTGAACCAGGCGCACGTACGAAGCGAGAAATACAGATTTTTTTATTGCATATATTTTCAATCATGCTGGTTACAGATTTCGTTTTGACGATTAGAACAGTACTTTGGGAAACATGTTCGTGGTCTTTTTGTCATTCAGCAGATCGAGTGCTTGAGTGCACCATGCTCTGTATGAGTTGAGGTATGTTCTTTGGAGGTTGGTGTAGCTGTACCAGATGCTTGGTGGTTCTGGGTCTTGGTTGGACGGTCATGGGTGAGATGGTCATCTTTGCCATAGTAACTACAGATACGAGGCGCCAGTAACTGTTGCTTTTGCCGTGGCAACATACAGGTGTTAAACGATGTATCGGATCATCACACAATTCACAGTGGCAACTCAGACAACTTTGGTCATCTGTGTTGCAGTGGACGAAGAAGGACGAAATGGGTTGGGTCTGCTTCTGCATCAGACTGAAGAGTAAGCTGGGCCCCGTCTCGCATATCGCAAGATTGCGCGCGCAAAGTCAGCCGGGAACTGAAGAGCAGAGCTAGATTGTACACGATGACGTCATAGATCGCGCGCTTCTGTGACGTCATCTACCATTTGCACTACTTTCATTTATACGCGCCATAGTAGTAACATGGTTGACTAAAAGCATGATTCTCAGTCTGTCACTGCTTCTGTGCGCTTCGATCATTTTCCATACTCGGCACTGTGACGTTTGTACACGCGCTCCGATGACGACTCGGGGAACGTGTGATGACGTCATGTATCAGCTCTACGGTACATGTGCAGCCATTACGTCAGGACTAAATGACATCAAAGACATAGAGCGGCCCAGGAATCTTCCAGTTGATGCCAAGGATTGCCAAGGGGTTCAAAACAACACTCAACCAACTGGTTGGATTGTCAAAGGCCAAGCTTTTTTTTTAAATGGTTGTTTGACGTCCCGTTTACAGACGCAGTACTGGCTTTTTCGCACTTGCCATTTCCGTTACTGAACAGTTGATGTGAGCGACTCTGCCTAGAGATAATCACTTCAACTTTGTTTCGACCAAAAATGGCGGTAAAGGTCAATTTATCTATATAGGCGTCCACGAGGATAGTGGTTCTTATTTCTACAATCAGTACCTTGTCAGTGGCCATGTGGACAATCAGTCTTCCCTGAGATGGGTAGGTCTGCAAACTGATGCCCCTGACTGTGTCATGTCAAACGACATTATATTTGGTACCGGTTGGCACCCTG